ATTATGGAAAAAATGTATTTCTATTCATACTCGGCATGTACCAAAATTGAAGAAAAAAGCCAGAGCGGTTCCAGAGATATTGGGGAATAACTGATTTTTTTGTTAAATTTCAACATCCTGTATCTCAGAAACGAAGCTGTCACGGACCTATGTTCACATGAAGAATTTTTCTTGAAATCATCCAAGGATTATCGCCCTTTAGGATCAGCATTCAATTATGAAACACCCTGTATATGTGACTGAAATGATGTCAGCATTTCAAAAGGATGTCTACTTTGGCTTACCAGTAACTAGAGCAGGTGTCTTAAATGAACTCTTTACACCCACACCAAAATTTGTGGTCAAATTTGATTTCTCATTTTTCTCTTAAAAACAGTATATTCTGTGGAGTTTCAACAGGAAGGCCTTTTTCTGATGAAACTGAACATTCTCTTATGTGATCGAATTGAAGATGTTTTTAATAAATACTTGTTTGATATGTAATAAAACATATTTTTCTACAAATGCCACAAAAATTACATGTTTCGCGCACAATAGGCGATTCAAAATAAGCGATACGCCCTCTTGCGTATATTCATCCAACTAATGGAGGAAATTGAATGTTTACATTCAAGTTTTTCATGCATTTTATCGAAAGTTTAGTAGCCACTGTGATATTTTTCGAGTTTTTTATTCTTCAGTAGAGTATCTTAAATCATTATCGCTCCGTTTCACACGTTATTCTTGAAAGTTTTATCACTGTATTTCACAGAAAATTGTAATTTCGATCAGTGTATAATTGAAAGATTTTCTCTCAACTTCCAGATTGAATTCAGTTGCATTTTACTTCCAGAAGTGAAAAGTTACAGTAGGAAAATTGAATCGTCACTCAAAAACAACACATATGTTCAATTTTTCCTGCTAGGTAGATCAGTTATTCACAGATACATCCAGCTTTGAGGACTTTTTCTCTTATATGTCATAGATGAATCGTCTACAATATATACATCTCAAACAGCTACCTACATTGTGAACATTATATTTACTCCACTCAATTTGCAATATTTATCTTATTATTGAATGAAATGAAAAGTAACGTAACCTCAAATCGGGGCATTTTTTTGTATCTCAAGTATTTTCCCAGCAAACACAGTTACATCGCAGAGATATCGCAGCGATGTAACAATTGTGTCCTGCGATGTCAGAGAGATGTTATTTTGTCCTACTCAAGCTTCATCCATGCGATGTCGGTGTGAAGTTCTTCACGATAGAACAGCGATATATTTTTTTGCAATTTAATTGCGATTTTATTCATGATGGAAAACCGATGTGTTTTTGCGATAAAACTACGATGATGCGAGATGACATCGCAGTAAAACGTACTGACATCTGATGACATCTAATATAAATCATGTGTTGATCATTTTTGAAAAATTCTCGCATATGAGTTTGCTTCTGTACCAGCGATGGAACATTCGTGAAATCGCAGTGTTGCCTCATCGCGACATCTCAGAGATGTCATGTCGCAGATGTGTTTGCCTCTACATCGCAGTAGCAATGGTACATTCGTGTAATATCGCAATGTTGCTTCATCGCGACATCTCAGATATGTCATGTCGCAGATGTGTTTGGTTCTGTACATCACAACGATGGAACATTCGTAATATCGCAGTGTTGCCTAATTGCGACATCTCAGAGATGTCATGTCACAGATGTGTCTGCTTCTGTATATCGCAACGATGTAACGTTCGTAATATCGCAGTGTTGCCTCATCGCGACATCTCAGAGGTGTCATGTCGCAGGTGTGTTTGCCTCTACATCGCAGCGATGGTACATTCGTGTAATAACGCAATGTTGCTTCATCGCGACATCTCAGATGTCATGTCGTAGATGTGTTTGGTTCTGTACATCACAACGATGGAACATTCGTAATATCGCAGTGTTGCCTAATCGCGACATCTCAGAGATGTCATGTCACAGATGTGTCTGCTTCTGTATATCGCAGCGATGTAACATTCGTAATATCGCAGTGTTGCCTCATAGTGACATCTCAGAGATGTCATGTCACAGATGTGTTTGCTTATGAACATCGCAGCGATGGAACGTTTGTAATATCGCACTGTTACCTAAACGTGACTTCCCAGAAATGTCATGTCAGAGATGTGTTGACTGGGATACTAAATAGTTGATGAAATGGAAAATTAGTAAATAATTGGGGGTTTTCAGTGGTGAAAAAAACAATATTTTTATTACTTATATTAAAAAACAGTACAAAAACTAATGCATCAATATTTCCATCTGCACCAATCTGCTATTGGTGTCGCCAGGCATCCTATAGGGCAACATTCCTGTAAAATTGGTCAAACATTTTGCTTGCTCTCTCAAATGATTCAACTGCCTATTGGTGGATTCATCATAAAAACGAGGAACATACTCGGTTGATTTAATCTTCTGGTACTCAGCAAAAAGCATATTCATTGTTGCCAATAGCATATCAGGGATAACTTTGCATAAATCAGAGTGAAGGTTTTTGAAACTCTTGACCCGACTGTCTATCTCTTCTGGTCTGAGAGGTATCAGTTGCAAATCATTGAGAATTTTCAGAGCATGGTTGTACTGCTTTGCATGATACTGGTCAAAGAAAGACAAGATATCTTTCAGTTTGACAAAAGTGTTGACAATGGTCATGGTGGTTCTATAACCCTCTCTAGAAAATCGTTCAGCATACTCCACAGCTTTCTCCTGAACCCTGTTCCTGAGAGAATCAGGCTCACCTTCCAATTGTGCTGTTCTGGATAAGATCCCACACACTAGCTTCAACAGTTCCTCTTGATTATTAGCTATATCATACAGCTCAATTGCTTCCTCATGCAATCCCTTTTTGACCAAGTTGTCCCCTATCATCTGAGCAATGCTTTCAGCACTCATAAACTGGTCTACAAGTCCCTTGGTTCTGATCCCATTTCTCTGTACTTTGCCTAGAATTGCTTCATATTGCTTGGTCTCTATGGCCAAGTAAGAGACACTGACCTTGAATAAATTTTGTCCTTCTGAATCTGTGTAATTTCTCAGGAAGAAGAAATACTGCAGAGCCTCATTTGGTGAGGTCAGTTCAAATTTCCGTACATAAAGCATAATAAGACGGGCCAGATTCAACCTACAAGCTGGTTTTTCATCCATGGGATCTGTACTCAGCAGGGGAGAGCTAGTATCTGGTGGGCCCCCTAATATGTACAACTCATTCAATGCTATTGCCATGTGGACTCCATGCACCCTGAACTTTTCAATCCTTGATAAGAACTCTATGGCAGCCTCAAATTGCCCAGTCAGAGCTAGAACTTGGAAATATAGGTGTGGTTGGTTGAAAGCATCATAGTGTGTTTCTCCATACTCCTCCAGAATGATTCTCTGCAAGTCATTGTAATTTATATGATCATCTTTGATAGCATTTACTCTCACTAAGCTGAGTTTGAGCCACAGATAATCATCAGCAGTACGTGCTACTTCTGAATGTTCATCTGAGATGTCACAACAGCCAAGGGCTGCCCAAATGATGCGTTTGAAAGGGTCTGTATCATTCCTAACAACTCTCCTGTAGGAGAACTTGATGCTATCTTCCAGTTTGGTGATTTGGGCACTTGGAGCATTGTTCAGTTTTCCTTCAAGTAAAAGAATCAACTCTTGAAATTCTGGTAGGCCACTTTTTTTCAGGCAGAAGACTGCTGCACCAAGATCACCTGATCTGAGGCAGTAGTACACCATTGGCCATAGGGGACGGTCATCTATGAGTCCATTCTGTAGACCCATGTATTCTCCTTGTAAACGCAGTCCAACAAAACTTCTTACTAGATGGTAAGTGCCTGGTATGCCACCACGAATTGCTTGAGCCAAGTTTTCATTGATAATGTTGTTCATGTAGGTTTTGTATCTATCCTCCAAGTACTTTTTGCCTTGTTTTACAAGGGCTTCAATGAAGGATTTACTGTTTCTAGTCTTGATAGGATCATCACCTTGTGGAAATGGGGCCAACTGAACCATATACTTTATTATTTCCCACATATCTGTGATTTTGGCATCCTTGAATTCAGATGAAATCCCAGCAAATATATTCACTAGACTTGGTTTCTGTGCTTCCCTATTGACAATCTTATTATAATCCATTATTTTGGAAACATAAATTGTCTCTATTGGGCCAAGATTACCAACAGAATAAATTGGGCGGTCCAAAGTAATGCTGAGCTGTTTACAAACTTCCATTGCAGCACCAGAGCTAGATCCCATAGCACTTAGTATTTTCCTTTTTTCTTGCTTCCATTCAGAGTTTTGATGTTCCCAGGCTGTATCATAAGTGAATGATAACATGGTACTGTACCCAGAATCAAAAGTAGCCAAAATCTTATTTCTAGTCTCATTCTCAAGGATATTATATATATCTAAATCTTCTATAGGCTGTATAGGTTCAAATGTGCGCTTGGTACTGATAGATTCTAACTTTTGAGCTATTCTAGGAAGATCAACCCCTTTAGAACCCAGCAGAAGGTTGGCTTGAATATCCTTGGCTCCTGTTTGGGCCACTCTGGTATACAGATCATTTGAGGCTTCCAACACTTGCCTGAGTGAGCGTTCGACTTTAGGTAGCTCTGTTATTCCTTCTAGTTCACTAGTCAACTTTTCAGCTTCTTGAAGAAGCTGGGAGAAGTCCGACATAATTTTTAAGTGTGAATGTTTACCTGGATACCTGATGACATGAAGATGAATTATTATAACATTTATATTCAAATAAAAACCAATTACCTTCAGAACAAAACTATCAAAATGAAAATCCGTTGTTTAAGTTCAAATTTTCTCTTCTAACCAACGAAACAAAAACAAGCCCAATCTTTTTGGTTAGAATTTAGGACAGGGGTGGGAGTACAACAAACAAATAAGTATTTGATCAAATGCACCAAAGGAAATTATTCATATCTATTTAGGTTCGAATGAAACTGAAGAAGAATTCTTTTTCCTAGGTTATGTCCATTGTTATGTCGTGTTTTCCATGGACAGGAAAAGCTATTTATTTGAAAAATGCAAGAACTTTCGAACAAGATAGATGTTCTTCTTAATAATTTCCAAGAGTTGACTAAGAAAACTGAACTTTTCTTGGAGTAAGTATAACCTAGAGAACTGTACTGTAATAATAATCCACCATAAAACAATTCTCATGATCCATTTTTCAGCTGTGATGTCTCCCTACAAAACAGAGTAAAAACCAACTTGAAACATGTATACGATTTTTTGAAATCAGAAGAAGTTGGGGTTCGATCAACAGATGCCTTACCAGAATTATTAATCAGAAATTTTGATGATGAACAAATTTGGCAAGAACTTGAACTTCAGAATGATCAGTTACTGACTACTTCATTGAAAAATGTTAGTAAGCTACTTGTCAACAAGGAAACATTGATGTTTTCAAATCTGCAAAATGAAGTCAAGGAGATTGAAGAGTCTGTTGAATCTGTAGAGAATGAAAGTAAATTATCCCTAGAACCTGAGGATGAAGAAGATTCAGATAATGACCATGATTCAGGAAATACGAGTCACAATTCAGAGAATGAATTAGACATAGGAGAGGGCGATGAAAATGATGAAGATTCTCCTGACAGTCCTTGCATTACAGAGTCAAAACCTCACAGAAAAGGAAGGCAATCTGAAGTAGAAGATGACTTCTTCAAATTGGATGAAATGGAAAACTTTTTGAGATCAGAAGAGCAGAAACTTGATAATCCTGAATCCAAAAAAGATAATACTGAAGAATCTGAGGGGTCTGAGGAAGAAAGTGTTGACTTTTTTGAGGATAACTCAGATGAAGAGGATGAATCATCCAAAACAGCTAGGTTCAAGGACTTTTTTAAAGCCAATGAGGAACCTAATGCCATAAGTAAAGCACCCAAAAGAAACAAGTTCCTGGAAGACATGGATGAGAATGATGAACAAGATGACCAAGTTCCAGAGCCCCAACAGAAATCAAGTTTGGAATTAAGAGAAGAAAGGTTGATGAAAAAAATTGGACATCTTGAAAGAGCTGCAGTTGGTGAAAAACCATGGCCTCTGAAAGGTGAAATTAAGGCTGACAGTAGACCAGTGAATTCACTGCTTGAAGAAGTTCTAGAATTTGATTTAACATCAAGACCAGGTAATTTCACTTCATTTTTCAATAAATTTAGTGGTTATATTTCTCTAAGTACTTTACTTTAGATGGATTATCTCTGGAATTATCTACATGAAAGTTGGTGAATTTGTATACAGAGTAAATGTTCTTCTAATTCATATACCACACCAGTGGATTGAGATTTACAAACAATAATGGGGCCATAAATATGTTTTCAGCACCTGTGATAACTGAGGAGACTACCCTACAGTTGGAAGACATCATAAAGCAGAGAATAAAAGATAAAGTTTTTGACAGTGTGGAAAGAAAGGCCAAACCAGTGAATACACCAATGGAATTCAAGAAAAAGTTAGTCCTAGACCAGGAAAAAAGCAAACAATCACTAGCACAGATATATGAGAAGGAATACATCAACCAACAAGCTGCCCTAGATCCTGACAATCAAGATAAAGAAGAAGTGGAACCACAGCTGCACAAAGAAATACAAACCATGATGAGAGACCTCTTCAACAAGTTAGATGCACTTTCTAACTACCATTTCACTCCAAAACCTGCTATACCAGAGCTAAAAATAGTTAACAATCTACCAGCTATTAGCATGGAAGAAGTAGCCCCAGTGACTGCTAGTGATGCAGCTTTGTTGGCTCCTGAGGAAGTTCGAAATAAGACAAAAGGAGATATAGTGGGTAAATCTGAGAGGACCACCAGTGATAAAAATAGAGAAAGAAGAAAAAAGAAGGCAAAACAGAAAGCTCATCTCAAGAATTTACCTATCAATAAAAACATGCTGGGTCCTAGGAAACATACTAATCAGAAGAATTTGAATTCAAATAAAAAAGGAGTTAAAAGCAAGAATGTTGAGAATATGGAGCAATCTCTCAGTACAAAGAGTTTCAAGTCATCAAAGGCATTCTTCACAGAATTGCAAGAACAAGTTCATTCTCACATAAGTGAAAAAGTACTAGCAAAGAAGAGAAAGAAGGTTGGTAAAAAGCTGGAGGCAAAAAGAATCAAATTGTAGTGCTTGTAATTTTCTTTGTAAATTTGGTGAAAGTAAAAGTGAATTTCAATTTTGAATTATTTTCTTCTCAATTTTTATCCTGGGTCAAAAACATCTTGCCCATTTGAGTCATTTTAGAATCATTTTAGTTATCTCAAGAGCAGTCATGACCAAGACACGAAGAAGAAGAAGACAAATAAGAAAGAAAATAACCTCTATTATTTGTTTCTTACAATCTTACATGTTTATGATACTGCTTTCAGTTTACTGGTAATTTTTTATACTTTTTAATTCTTTGCCTTGGTTTTATAAAAAAGTAGTTCTTAATTCTAACTAGTTCTGTTTATAAAATGTTGTGAAGTGACTATACATTTCCTGCAATAAAAACAATCTGAGCCTATTAACATCAAGTATCTGTGTCAGTTCACAGTGTCAGCTTTTTGAGCTACTATGCCTGTTATAAAAAGGATCATCACAAATACAGCAGGGTTCCAACCAGTACTGGGTAAGAATAGTATTAAAGTTTTAAACCTACTCTCAGTTACCCTTCATTATTTTGAATATGTTAATCATATGACTAAACTTCCCAGTTGAATTCGAAAATGGGAAGATCCAACCTGGAGAAGAAAAAAATTTGGAGTCTGGCATTTATGAAGAAAAGAGTGGAACAAAGATTGTGGGCATAACTACCAACAAAATGCTTTACACAGGGCCCCTGAAGGAGGATGATCTGTACAATAATTTTTTATTAATACATAACAAGAAGAAAGATAAGGTTCAATTTCTGATTTGGAATTGTATCAAAATTCAATTCTATAATTAGTTTGTATTTTCAGATAGAGATGGTTCAAATTGACTGCTGCATTGCTACACCCAAGCTTAACAAGCCAAGTAATATTATTCAAAGCACACCTTTGTTGTCCAGAGAAATGAATGTATCAGAGCTTCAGAAGCAATTTGGTTCAAAGAAATCAAAAAGAGTCACTGAGCAAAGAGAACGTCTCACCATGAATATAGAGACAGTGAAAGAACAGTTAGAAAAAACGGTAACAGGTACTTTTTTTAGATTCATTCAAAGTAGTTCATTTGTACCTTGAAAAAATATTAGAAAAGAGAAGACGATTTCTCTGTAATTTGTCAAATGTCATTCAGTGACATTGACATGAAATGGCTGCAGGAGAAATGTTTATTTATTTTTGTGTTTATATGTGTGTGTGATATGTGTAATTCCTTGATATCTCTGAAACCTAAACCTTACATTGACAGTGCCTTTGAGCCCTTTGAGGATACATAACTATAAGAACATGTACACAATTCCATCAGAACAATCAACATTATTGGCTGGTTTCCCTATAGAGTATGGAAGGAATTGAAACTGATAACTGACCATCCAACTGAAATTATGTCCTTGTTAACGGAGAATATAGACTATAACAATCCTTTGCTGACTTGGAAACTACCTCCAAGGAAATGCATGGAGTTGAAAACAATTGGGTTGATACCTTTAGAACCTGGTACAGTAACAATTGAACTTAGCAATTCCAACAATCACACTCTAACTAATTTGCCAAATATGCATTGCCAGATGCCTAGCCAAATTACTCAGGTCCATCAAATGCCACAACATACACAGTGCATTGAACAACAATTTGAACCTATCTCAGCAGGGAACTCTGTTCCCACAGAACAGAAACAGACCACCAAGAAAGTAAAGACAATCAGAAAAAAGTTCAAAAAGTTCCCAGTTGATGGTATGGTATATCACAGTCAACAGTTAGGTCTCAAAGTGCCCCCCAAGAAGGTAAATGACTAAAAGACCTACAACACCCTAGTTAATGATAGATTTTCATCAGTCTTTAGGTATCAGAGGAATGGTAATACACAGTCAAGCCAGGGAGGTTATCAATAATGTGTTCAAGTTCATGAAGGAAGAAGCACAAAATGGGATTAAAATTCCATTGTCAAATTATAGGGAAAGGGTATTATCTGCAACTGGGATATCCAAGTGTACTTATTCAAGAATCACTACTAAAGAATTCAAACTTGGAGAACCCCAGCCCTGCCGAATGAAAAAAAGTAATGTCTTTTACTTGAAACCCAAATGGGGGTAGACCATAGACAAACAATATTATGTTTTACAAATAAGGCAATTGCAGTGATGCTTTTGCTGGTGGAAGCACTGTTCAAATCTTTGAAGGAAGCCTGTTTTTTCTTGATTCTCTTAATCTCATTGGACATTGAAGTATGAATACAAAAATATTTTCAATTATCATATTGAAATTCTGATCATCTCCAAATTTCAAATTGTTCAAATATAATGATTTCATGTCATTCTCTTGACAATACACTATCTTTTCTTCTTTCAGTTTTGACATAGATCTAAACATGTTTTGAAGATAAATAATTGAAATTTGAGAAGATTATTGACATTATACAGGGTGTTATTTAAGTACGTGGCCAAACTTGAAGGGGTGATTCTTTGAGTGATTCTTAGACGAAAAAGTCATATAAACATAGGTCCGGTAATGCTTCGTTTTCAAGATACAGGGTGTCAAAATTTTTAAAAGAAATCGTTTTTCGTAAATATCTTAATAACCCTTCGACCGATTCCATTGAAATTTGGCAGTGTTATTCAAGGTCGTGAAGGGCTAATTTAACCCTAACTATATCAAAATTATCATGTCCAGTGGCGTCCCGGAAGGCACTGTAACCAATATTTTTGACACAAAAAATGTGCGCCACTGATTTTTTTGCAATTTTTGTATTTGTTTCACATTGAGCAACTAAAATTACAACTTTTTTATATCTAGAATTTTTTTCGTATCTTGCTTTGTTTTTGAGAAAAAACATAAAAATCACTTCATTGCACATCCCTGTGACAACACAATAAAACATTTCAACTACTAAACCATCGAAAACTGGGGTTTTACTAATATTTTTGATATAGTTAGGGTTGAATTAGCCCTTTACGACCTTGAATAACACTGCCAAATTTCAATAAAATCGGTTGAAGGGTTATTAAGATATTTACGAAAAAAACGATTTCTTTTGAAAATTTTGACACCCTGTATCTTGAAAACGGAGCATTACCAGACCTATGCTTATATACAAAATTCGAAATTTCATTCCTCTTAGATATTTGAAGAATATATATTTCTGTCTGATTTACTCAAAATTACAATATTTAATATCAATTTGGGGAAGCACAAGTATATCACATTTGAAACCATTAATGAAATTACAAAATAAAACAATTAAGTGCATTTACAATTTACATTACCTGGAACCAACTATTAATCTTTACAAACCAAAAAATCTGTTGAATTTATCATCTTTATATAAAATGAAAATTTGTTCTTTTATCCATTTTGTGAGAAAAAAAATAAAAATATCCAACTTGAACTTTACTGAAGTAAATACAATTCATACTCATGCAACGAGACAGTTGAATTCATTAATAGCAAACCCATATAACTCCATCATTGGCAAACAATCAGTATTCTACAACGGAATCATTTTATATAATTCATTACCTTATGATTTGAAACATATTGATGATGAAACAAGATTCAAAGTCAATATGAAAAAATATATACTCATGACACAATAAACGGAGCAATTTATTCTCATTTGAATACTTGGAATGGTTTTATTTTGATTATTATGTTATATTGACATAACTTGTTAATTAGTTTTTTTTTATTGTTTTATATATATATATATATATATATATATATATATATATCATATGTTTATGTATCCCTATTATAAACAAATATGTTTCTTGGGGTAATAAAGAACAACAACATCAACAACTTTTCGTCTTAGAATCACCCAAAGAATAACCCCTTCAAGTTTGGCCACGTACTTAAATAACACCCTGTATAAATGTTTGTTATTTATCCTGAAGTGATACTAACATGATTCAGAATCATTCATAAAATTATGTGAAATAAAAAAATCACTAAGAATTTTTCATTTGAAAACCAAGAGTTGATGATAATAATGATATTAATAATTATTTCAAGTTTTGTTATAAACATTACATCTAATTTATTGAAATAAACAACATATACAAAAATAATAATAATAAAAAAAAATCTCATGAAAAGTACATTATGACATGATGAAATGAACTAGTGAATAAGAAATCATTTTCTTGCAAGAGGATATGTTTCTTGACTTTAATTTTGAATTGGGTGATATTTGTACAACTTTTGATATCATCAGGTAATTTGTTGAATTTTGAGATAGCCCCATCATAAGTAAACTTTTTTTGATCAAGTGTAGAATTAGCAGCATCAAACTAGTCATATTGTCCAGTATGATGTTCATGGATTTGAGAATTCCTTACCAATATGATTAGATTAGATTTGAGGTGTTTGTTGAAAATATCAAAAGAAATTTTGAGAGTATGTATCAGATAGTGCTCTTCCAAAGAAAATGTATTTGTTTCTTCATATAGTTGATTTGATGGTGTGCCATATGGAAGACAATACAGTACTTTTAATGCCTTCTTATATAGTACAGATATTTTGTTGAAATTATTCTCAGAACATGAACCCCAAATATTTAGTAGATATGTAGTTCATTTTACTAAGGACATATTCTTAGGTGGTCAACAATGGAAGATATTTTGCCTTTGAGCATGCCAATATGCTTGTAGCAAGTTAACTTTTGATCAATCCAAATACCAAGGTTTTTGGTATAGGCAGTTTATTTCAATCTTTCATTTTGTATTCTAATATTCAACTCAATATCTTGTTTATTTCTCTCATGGAAAGTAATATATTGTGTCTTATTACAATCAAGAGAAAGAAGATTGGAGTAAAGCCATTCTTCCATTTTCTTTAAATCCTCGTTTATGTTGTTTTCTGAAATTATAGGTTTTTTTTTCAAATAAAAGTACTCTGTACTGATTGTCCTTTTTTCTAGATATGTTTTCAAGAGATTGTTGCCAATACCTCTGATGCCCATTGAATTAAGGTTTTTCAGGAGAATATTGTAGTCAACTACTGTCAACTGTATTAAATGCTTTTTTCAGGTTCATAATTGCCTTTGTCAAATCTGTCTTGTATAAAATTGATTTCTTGTAAAACTGCTGACTGTGTACCACTTTTCTCTTGAAAACCAAATTGATTCAAGTCAAACTCATATTTTTCATTGATGAAGTCAACAATTCCCTTTTTTATAACTTTCTCAAGTATTTTAGTAGCTCTTGGTTTGTAATTTACCGGATTTTGAGCCTCACCGCTTTTATATATAGCCCTTAATGAGGTGTGTTCCAATTCATGTGGAAAAGTACCTGTTGACAATGAGTTATTGATTAATTGTCTTAATGATTCAGCCATACTGTTTTTCAATTTCATTACATCTCATTATGTTTAATATTTCAGATTCATCAGTGGATATCAGAAGTATTGTTGAATCATTATTATTTGGTGATATATTGATAATTGGTTTATCATTATAAAATGTTCTAATTTCATTTGCAGTATTCTCACCAATACTTGAAAAGTGTAAATTCATTGTCTAAGATATTTCTAGGTCCTTGTTAATAATTTGACCATCAACTTGTAAGGATTCAATTCATTATATTTGGATTTATTTCTCAAACAGTAATTGATTGTATTTCACAGTTAGTACTACCTACTACTTCTGGTATTGTTACATCTGGTTTGTGATTATTGAATTAGTAAATTTGAATACTATAATGAAGAAAGGGGCAAAATCAGTTATGCACCCTGTATGTGGGATATTCACAATCTCTATATTTTTGTTTTCAAATGGAATGCTCTGTATTTTAACTTCCTGAGAATTGTAAAATGTGTATTGAATTTATTGTCTCTATTAAAGGCATTAAACTGGATGAAAGTGCAACTGAAGTGACAGAAAATGATAGTATCTATCGCCCAAAAATTAACAGAGATGCATCTACAAGGGACGGCATATATAATTTAGAGGATCTAGTACCTGGATATATTTTGGATACATTAGCGCCTGAGGCTGGTCAAATAATGACTACTGGTAACATGCAACCATACAAGTAATGAATAAAATGATTGCAGGTATATTGAGGTCAATGATTTCTTTTTTCCAGTTTTGGTCCTTTTGTTTCCAATAGTATCAGCAGGATTCTTATGAATGATGCCTCAGAAGAAATTCAAATTCGTAGGATAACCATTTTCCTGTACATAAATTACCTCATCAAATTCATGGCCACACCTATGAAAAATATCACAAAAAAATTCATTGTTTGTGATAAGTCGCCTGATGTGAACTCCCATATCTTGGATACTTTTTCTGTGAACAGCCAAAATTCAAGGTAATCTTCAGAATAATCCATTATCTCTTGACTATGCAAAATTTTCATTTCACAATATTCCATTAGGGCATTTTCTGGTCTTATTGTGTACACTATGTTTTCGGAAACCTTGTGGAATAATCAATGACTCATGTTTCTTCCTGATATTGATTTGCAGAACAAATACTAATATTCATATTGAAATTCAAACACTAGCTCATATTAAAGCTTTAAACCTCAACTCAGATGACTACAAAATGGTGGAGCAAGTCCCCTATCTTGCCTATCTTAGACCACTACCAAATCCAATTGGCTACCAAGTCACTTAATATTGCATTATTCCAACACAACCCAACCTAACAAAATACGGAACATTCTAATTATTTGTTTATGCATCTCGCCTACTAACTAGCTTTTCCATTTAGATCAACAATGGTTAATGTGTCTACTTCTTGTTTACCTTGTATTCTGAGGAATGGATGATTCAAAACCATTTCAAAACGTTCTTGATGGCCTGAAGACCCCTCAGGAGGTCATGAATTGAGTGTTGTGACAAAATAACCATTCAGTATCATCTATTGAATTTGATATACATGCGGTATAGTTTCCTTTCATGTTGCTAAGAAACTATAAAGTTTTTAGCAATTCCCCACGTTGGGCGCCAGATGAAGAAGAATAGGTTCTCAGCAAACTCAGATATGGATTTTATTTTCAACAGTCTGACAGGTTTGACAAGCAACAGAACTAAAATTAAATAAAGTGCTGATATCATAAACATATTCGCATATTTAGATCTACTCTATGTGATATTTATGATTTTATACAATAATGGTACATACCTAAAACCAGGCGACTGTTGGTACCGAATATAATTCAATCTCACAGTTAAAAACCCAAATGGCTTTCAGTTCAACTTGTCTTGCTAACAAACTTCATAGTTTCTTATTAGTTTGTTTCTTATTATATTGTTTAGTTTATTGAAATCCTAGTCCCCACTTACCCCACTCACTTTGTTATTCTTTCCGGCCTATATAGTACAGGAAATATCTACTTCCCTCCCGTACTAGGTCGAAAAGTGGGTACCTTCCCGGACAGTTGCCGAAATAATAATTTTTCCAAAAACCGCTCAATTCATCGATGTTTTAGGACTCGTCCTCTTCATATGAAAGACAAAGCTGTTTGCTATACGCTGGTCCTGGCAGCGATAGCGATGGAATATGAAGTCAATGTGGAACAGCTGTCAAAGGATTTGAAAATCGGTGTAAAGAAAACGCTAGAGGTGTCTCGCATTTTGGCATTCAACGCCTCCAAGGACAAACACATTGTTCAGCTGAAGCTACCTCTACCTGCACCTGTCACTTTCAGTTCTAAAAGAAAGAGGCTTTAGAAGGCCAGTGTCTTCTATAATTTCTAGGTTTGCAATTAAAGTACCACTAGTGTGAAGAATGATTTACATTAAAATTAGTTTAAGAACAACGTGAATTTTTGATTCTCAAAATAACATCAGCCAGAAATATGAACCCATTTTGTTCTCTTACAAGGGGAAAGTCATAATGAAGACGTTAAAGTTCAAGCTTCATCTTCATTTCATTTTGATGATGATGATGAAACGCCGCTAGTTTTCATTATAGATTCATACTACAAACTGGTAGATAATATTTCCACTAAATTAAAATCACAGCTTTTTCAAGTACAATATTTTCGCGAATTTCACTTGAAGTAGCTACCTCATTAGTAAAACAAGTCTACCTTTCAAGAATTTCCTGGAAATCTTAACATTTCTGAAGTTTTTCAGAATTATTGTGATTTTCATAATGTCAATCTAAGCATACCAAAATCTCTTCAATTCCTTTGATTTCCAGCAATACATAAGGATGTGAATAAAACTACAATTTTTGTTTGATGAGATATTATGGTAAAGAAAATATAAACTTATAAAAAATTTGTTACATACAGTGTAAATTACAAAATTACTGATTATGGACTAGAATATTTTTACAAAAATATAAAAAGCTGCGGAAATAATTGGATTGCCTTATATTCTGGATGGAATACGGTTAATGTTCAACTTCAACAATTCTGATTGAAATTTTGGCAAGAAAAAATTACAACACATAACTATTTATAATCTCAACTAATTGGTCATGATGTATTAACTAGATAAACTTAACAAAATACAATTTTTAATTTGTTCAAATATGGGAATATCTGATTCCCAACGAATTAATAATCAAATATTGCACTATCATCAATAAATGCACCGATAATTGTACCATTGAAACTGCTGTACTTCTCAGATACAGCGGCAGTTTGAAAAATTCAAATTAAATATTTCCAATATAAGTAAAACTATTGATTTTTCATATTGCTAGCTGCACGTAATTAATTAATTTTCTAGTTTAGAAAACCTGGAACAATTGATAAATAAAATAACAGTGTTAACCTATGAAGAAAATTAAGGTACAAATTTAACAGTCAACATGTAGAAGTGGAAAAGGTTTTTCAAGTTGATTATAATATAGACTATCATTTATCTGACTTGATTACAATTGATGAAGAGAATTAAGTTTTCTCTATTCACATGAAAGACAATTTCCACTTCAAACCCAACAAGAAGGTTATACCTACAACTCTTAAGTAATAATGGAAAACTCAGACCCACAGTTAAAGCTGTCAGTTTTGTAGTATGTGTCTGAAAAAGTATTTGTCTGGTGTCAATGGTTCATTTTAATTTTATCGTCACTCATCCAGTTCGTCCATTCTACACCTCACCGCCATCTCTACAACTTCCAAACTCGGATAGTCCAACTCTTTCACCAGGCATAGAACAGCGGAAAGAATATTCGAATTCTGAAAATAACGAATAATTACAACCTCCAAAGTTATACACACTGTATAATCTTTGCTGCCTGGAACCCTAATGAATTGACCATATTTCCAAGACATTTTCTATTGTGAGGTTGGCTGCAAAGATGTCAAGCCTAAATAAAATGAGCGCCATTGCCAAAATCATTGTATGTCATGGTGTTTTCTATATATTCAAAAACTTGAATTGTTAATTATTGACTATTTCACTCTTGTTCTCGAGAACGAATCAGAATCGGCCATTTTCCCGGTTTCTCTTTAATAAGATGCCTGAATTACAGTGATATTTTTTGTTCACTAAATATTATTGGACTTCATCTACCCAATACAGAAGCCGAAATGACCCACACGTGATCAACCAACCTCGTTTTTTTTGCGATAAATCAACTCCTACACGGAAAACGCTATTTGCCGACGACGTGAGTCATTTTGACATCGATAAGGAGGATGCACTTTTTTTTAATTGGATAAATTCCCTTACTAACTCAAACATTTTCCATCGGTTATTAATTACTGATCGGCAAATGTTTTTCGTTACCAAGAGACATTTATCCGTTAAAAAAAACCTTGTGTTTTTACTGTTGATAAAAGGGATGCGTGCTCTCCGTCCAACATCAAACATCACTGTCTATAGTACTTTCAACGTTTCTTATTGCTCAAGTAACCCTATATTCGATCATATTCGATCTATATTGCTCTGATTCTGCATTTAATAACTGGATTGCGCTGCCGAAACTAGTATTTAGAATTCGTTCAAGGATGCGAAGAACTAAGACGCCGTATATACTTCTACTTCGCTGAACTGAATCTTTCAACAACATAAACGAGTTTAACTGCAGTATGTTGGAGGTTTAGCCAAATCATTTTCTCCTATATGAAAAACGCTATTTGACGACGACGTGAGTCATTTTGATATCGATAAAAAAGGATGCACTTTCTTATCGCTGATAAACTGCCTGCTCCTTTGATCTAGTAGCTATTTGCGCCTGATGTCACTCCAATTTCTGTCGTGTCAATTTTGATTGATGAGTACGATTCACGCGTAAATTAGCAGGATGAGCCGAATTGGATAAATTTCCTTACTAACTCAAACATTTTCCATCAGTTATTTTTCTCGAAAAACTGACCACAGACAAAATTTTTCATGTCAGTATTTCTCGTAAACTTACTGATCGGCAAATGTTTTTCGTTACCTATCAAGAGAAACTTATCCGATAAAAAGTTGAAAAATCAAAAACTCGAAAATTATCATCATCATTCGGATATAATATGTAGTTGAATGAGAAATTACATGTGGAAATTACGTATGATACGCCAATGTCCTCAATATAACCTAACCTAAAAAACAACAAATGTCAGAAATTTAGTGTTAATCCCCAGAAATGAATAAGGATGGAACTATATAACTGTTTCACAAACACTTAAGAGTACGAGGAGACGAGGATCTGTCCGTACCCAGTTAAGATGACAAATACGTCAATTTACATCAAGGCATCTAGCGCCGTAACAATCACCGAATATTTCGGGCAAAATAGTATCACTTGTGATATAAAGTATGAAAATAAGAGCGCCAGACCTACTTCGCGGACTCTTCGATTTCCAAACTAATTATAAGATATTATTTGACAATGACAAAAGACAACGCATTCGACAAATGACAGTAACACTTTATACAAATACCACAAAATGTCCAACTCTTTCTAACCGAAATATGGTCAATTGCAATATCTTAGGTAGATTAAATGTCGTTTCACAGTGGGACAATTTGGAAACTGTTGAGTGTCAAGAAGAGATGTCAGTGACAGAGATTTTACGGTTGCGTGTGCTTTTTTCTTTAACACTAGGGGAATCGGCATTCTGAAAACACATTTCGTACCGCCAGAGCTCCAAGGTTAATAATATTATTAAAGGAAAACAACATTATGATGACGAGAAACGCGAGAAAAAAGTAGCAAAATGATCACAAAATTATTAATATTATTTTGGCTTCGCAAAAAAAATATTCGCGTACACAATGATTTCATTTTATTCTCACGAATCACGACCAGTATACTTTTGCCAAATCTGCAGTGGTATAAATTCACCACAACAAAATATAGTGCTTTCCTAAAGATTCATCATTTAGTTGATTAAATTTCTTAGATCCACCAGAAAAAAATACCGTTGACAAACAAAACCATTACCGAATGAATTCGTGAGAATGAATTGTTCTTTCAGTTTGGATTCACTTACTCTGGTCACTGGTCTTCTAGTAAAAGGTGGTCTGTGCACTGCGGCAGGACAGGTGTACCTCTCCCTTTTTTCGTGGGCAGTTGAGACTGATACCTCGCTGCCGCCATGAGAAGGAACATATCTTTCTCCATTAGCGTATTCCTAAAAAAAGATAGTTGAAATTACTTTCCAATTTTGTAATGTTGTTTTGAGGAAAACACGCTTTTATTACTTGATTGACAAGTGGGAGTTGATGTGAAATGAGAACCCACCTTGATACAGCTAGCTGATTGGCTATTGACTATTTTAGTTTCCCTGAATACGGTTTCGCAGGGTAGCACCTCTTCCAATGATTGGTTAGTAGATGAGGATTTCTGGTGAAAATCAATGATATAGCTAGATTTTATTATGGTCATGATTTGTGACAAGGATTTTACCTCGTAGTACTGTTGCTGTCTAGGAGATTCTCTTTCATAGCTGTTCCTCCTCCTTTCAACATATTCCGGTTCAGGCGAATAAATCATTCTTCTTCTTGGAGGAGTGGTCTACATCAAGACAAATAATTAATAATATTTATAACTAGAGATTCAATATTTCAAGGCAATTTTGGTTGGATTGGCAAGTAACAATATCAATTAGTACAAATTTGTTAGTTTTCAGCAATGAGGTTTTCAACACTCTGGAAAGTAATTCACAATTAGATGTTGTTTTCACACTTCCGAAAAGCATTTGATCAAGTCAACCATGATGTTCTGTTAGAAAAAATAAGCAGATAATTATGGATTGTCCAGAAATGTTTCATAATTGTTAAAAAAATTATTTACAAAATAGGTATTTCATTGTTAGGCACAATGGAAATACATCAGGAAAATTTCTTGACAATTCTGGTGTGCCGCAAGGTTCGAACCTAGGACCACTTCTTTTTATACTATTTATTAATGATATTCCAATGAACCTCAAACTTTCAGACTGTCTACTATTTGCTGACGATCTGACGATTTCAAGAGTGTAAAAACTGTTAGAGACTCCATAGGACTACAGAAAGATATAGAAAATGTTCTAGAGTGGAACCAAAAGAATAAACTATATTTCAATTTGAAGAAATGTTCTGTACTATATCGATAACTCATGTAAAAGAACCAATTCTTTTCTGGTATCAAATGGACGGAGAGATCCTAAAAAGGAATACAGAAATAAGAATTCAGTTCTCGTTTGCCAACCACATTAAATAAATCGTCAAATCTGCCAATAAAATTTTAAGATTTGTTATCAGACAGATATCATCTTTTTCTATAAATACTATCCAGTTACTTGATTATTCCCTAGTCAGGCCTAAATTGGAGTTCGCCTCCATTATTTGGTTTGGAGAATATGAAACAAAATTTGTACAGAATTCAAAAAATACAGAATAAATTAATTATTGAATTAATTAATTCTAATTCAATAATTAACAATTATGTATTGAGTAATTACAACAGAAGGTACAATTTTTTTGTGTAATTTCATAGTGTTTTATATTTATCCTTGTAATTAGGCTGTAATAGCCTGTTTGGGTAATAAATAAATAAATAAATAAATCAAAAATAAGAGATAACAAATCGTTTTCGGCATATTACCTGCCTAGGTGGGGAGAACTCTCTGCTCTCTTCAGATACATCTTCTCTGGGGTATACATCCTCGATTTCTTCAGCTTCCTCAGGATCAGGTGTCTGTTAATGAATTGTTAATGGGTTAGGTATACTAATGACAGTGGAAGGTGCAGTAGTGATCGTACAGTCAAATTGTGGGTGTACTACAGTGTGGTTATATACCCTCTTGACTGCACGTGATAAAACCACCGACTTGAAGACTAATCCAGACCGCCAGTTCGATAAGGAAAAAGGTGAGGCACTCAGGAGATTTAGAGTGGTCTTCACAAGTTAAATACTTAGGTGTGTGCATTGACAAAAAGTTTCAAAAGCAAAACGAGCCATTGGAGCCCTGTATCCATTTCTAAACAGACGAAGTAAATTGGGTTTGAGACAAAAATTGAATATTTACATCATTGCTATCAGGCCAATTTTACTGTATGCCTCGGTAGTCTGGGGCCACACACCTAAATCTCATATCACCAGATGACAAACATTACAAAACAAAATCGCGAGAATGGTGAGAGGATCTCCTTGGTATGTTCGGAATAACCAGATCGCCAGGGATCCCTCCCTTGAATTGTGTCAGTCATTAGAGAACAAAACATCAAGACTTTCGAAAAAGCTGAGGTTCATGAGAACCAGCTTCTTCGAAATGCAGTTGATTATGACCCAGGTAAGACCGAGATTGTCCATAAACTAGAGAAAATATCAACATTAGGACCAAATTTTCAATTCTCAAAATGTATTTCTGAAACTTATTCGGGGCAGAAGGGCTGTTCGCATCAAACTTCAATAACGTTTTCATGTTGTTTCTTTTTTTTTTTGTTTCATGATAGAGGGACTCTTCTCTGGTCTGAATCAAATAAAAGAAAGATCCAATACATATATCATATATATACTTAGGGGATCGAACTGGTGAAATTGAGTCATGTGCACTTAGGAACTGTCATATTACACTCATGAATTCGAGGAACATAGTCGTATCTCGAAGGAAAAAGGTTGGGAGGGGTTAGAGTCACTGGATAGTATTAGTTTGATAAGAGTTCGGACACAGAAATGACAACGGTTAGGGTTTTTGAATGTTTAGATTTATAAAGTTACACACCTTGCATTGTGACAAGAGCACCATAGTCGTCCCGCGCTTTTTCATTCAAAATTTTTTGAATTTGACAATTCATTTTATGAACGTCAGAATTGAGATAAAATTTCATAATTATTATACTTTCGAGATAAAAGCAGCTATGGAAATCACTTGCTGTATAATAAATTGTGCCAATTTTGAAACAAATGGATATCTTTTATTCGATTTTCCAAATCAAATATCAAGCATTCGCTTATGGAAGGAAGATATGAAACGGCCTGGGTGGAAAATCAATTTGAAGACGAGCGGAATTTGTGAGGTACTCATTGAAATTCACTTCTTATAACAGCATCTGATTAGAATGAATCTATATTTTAGGCCCATTTTCAAACATAAGATTTCAAAATCTGTTTGAAAGAATCGGCTGTTCCATCAATTTACAAATCAGACGATTTCAAGAACAAAATTCCATTATTATCATCACACAAAATACAAAACAAAATAATCATGGAAAAGGGGAAATGATCGCAAAATTACATTATGAAATTGAGAATTTGAAAACGAAACTAAGAAAAGCAAGTAAACTACAACGTGATATATTATTGAATGGCGTTTTTGGTGTTGACCGCGAATCCAAAATTCAACAGTGAAAAGTGGTATTTATGTATCAAAGGAATTATTATAAGGGCCTTAATTACGTAGGAGGTTATCGTTTCTTACTTAGCTCCTAGGGAGCTAAGTGAAGTTGCTGAGAACTTAACAAAACCAAGTATTTGGTAGGTCTCGTCAAAATAAATTACTTTCCCATGAAATCTTTATCGGAAAATGATTTGTTCTCTGTATTTCAACACCCTGTATCTCCGAAATGAAGCATTTCCGGACACAAGCTTATATAGACTTTATTTCTTAAACTTGTCTCAGAAATACTTCACTGGAGTACAGTTTCACATACAATAAGGAATTATAGCTATAAGTTTATCCATAAGTATATATTCTCTGATATTAAAATGTTGTTACATGCATTTTTTTCATTTATATAATAGTTGCTCTGCTAGAAGTGTATCACTATGAATTGAAGTGGGTGTTTGTACCCTATATCCATTGTCCATCTACGGCTATGATTGATTTGACAGAAAATATAACCTCTAAAATCGTATCTGACAATCAGGCGCTACTAGGGAAATTGAAAAGACAAAGAGCAGAATATATGTCTTGTTCTTTTATTCACTTAAACCATTGTATTATAGAAAATAGAAAAGGACAAAAGTTCAGCTGTGTCCGAACTCTTATCAAACTAATACCATTCAGTGACTCTAGGAGGGGTCTACTATGGAAGGTTGATAAACCATACAAAAGGTAGTGAGAAACGAATAAAATATGCCGAATTCAGGTCTCATAGCTTCCAAATACTCAGATTTGAGAGCTTAATTTTGAAAACGGCAAATGTGCATGTGGTTTCAATGTCCTGGATTTGCCTGGAAGCATCAGAAAGCTGTCCGAACATAATTATCCTTTCTGAGTGGACAAGGTCCAATAATGGTCTCCTAATAGCCTCAAACCATTCATTTCTCTCAACTTTAGGAATGTTAGAATCATTATTGAATGAGTAAACTCCTCTAAAATAGATGAGCAGGTGGTGCCTGAACTCAAATTTTTCACAGATGAATGAATATACAAAACATGCGTGATTCCATTTGATTCAAATACTTGCTCAACAGATATGGAAGCATATTAAAATCATAAATTATTCATTACCCACAAACTCACCGATGAAATGAAACATATTTAGTATGATTTTTCGAGGAATTCTTACACCAATAATAAAACGAAAAATTCAAGCCGACCCCTGATGACATCAACAAAACACTTAAGCTGACGCCGCATCCACCTAGTCTAGCCTATGAACATGGGGTTTCTTGCGTATTGAGCAGAAGCGTTTTCAGGCGTGCAACTGACCATACTTTTTCGGGTTGCTGCGATATGACTACTAGCAGTCTAGATAGAGTAATAAGTCGGTGGATAAAACTCTTGGCAGATCATAATAATGATAGTTGTTATAGTAGAATGGATATTGCACATTATTCGCGAGCGCCATGGTTATTAGATGACGTTCCGATGACATTAAAAACTACGGGAAAACATATCTAACTTTCAATCTATTCCAGGGGTTAGGAGGGTTTCCCGTAAATTGACGTCTTTGTCATCTCAATCGGGTACAGACAGATCTTCGATCGTCTCCTCTCACTCTTAAGTGTTTGTGAAACAGTTATATACAATTCTGGAGATAAACACTAGATTACTGACATTTGTTGTTTTTTAGGTTATATTGAGGACATTGGCGTATCATACGTACTTTCCACATGGCATTCCTGATTCAACTCTACATATTATATCCAAATGATGATCCAGATTTTTGAGTTTCTGATTTTTCAACTCCACCATAATTTTTGTGAGGCAGTGAGCATACATTTTTCTGAAAGTTTAATATGTTTTACCAAATGGGACTGTTCTAATGGTGAAAACTCTGATGTAGGTATTCAAACTAATGTGCTCATATGACATGTGTGCTGTTTATTTATATATTCATGTTGGGGATATCATTTTTGCAGTTTTTTTCGAACATTTATATTTTCTGAATGTAGTTACAATTTTTTAAATGGTAGGGCATATGTCTCTTCGTTTCATCCTCCGTTCAAATTAAAACTTTCTACTGAAATGCTTCACTTTCCATGTTCTAAGTTCATTTGCATTTGTTGGAAAGCTGACAATTTCAAATTTGCCAACCAACTGATTGTCCAACACAGCACATCTTACCATTCTTCCAAAACAGAATTGAATAAAGTATCAAGATTGAGTACTAATTAAAATTTTGTAAGATTTCTTTTAACGCCTGTGGATGTGACGTGACAGCAATGTCATGTCAGGGATGCCAATACACAAAACCAAAGTCACTAGATCATTAAAAGAGACAGGAGCTATGATCTGTCCGTACCCTGTTAAGATGCTGAAGAGCTGATTACAGAGATATAGGGTGTTCAAAATTGAGATTTTTCAACTTTAGGATTTTTTTGACCACATGTCCCTATCTCAACTTTTGATTTACTATTCACTGATAATTAAGGATGTTGTTTGTGTTATTATCTTAACAAAAAATGATACATTTCAATGAGGTATTATCTGATGAAATTTGTTTCTAGACAAATTTCGAAATAACTTTAGGCTTTTAAGAGAGGGCCAGAAAGAAACAAAACCATTTAAGAATCTGCCAACGAAGTTTCGTGCAACATTAATGAAACATCCTGTATATTATGATGTTCTCTTTTTGCAATGAACGGATGTAGGACAAATGTGTAAATGGGTATAAATAGCTATTTCTTCATTAGACAAAAGAAATGAATGCAAATGAATTCTTATATGATTATCCTCAACAAATCATTTTCAGTACATGTGAGAGAAAATAATTACAACATTCATAACTGGGTACCTGCATGTGGAAAAGATGTTCAATAGCTTTTCATGTTTTTCCGCTATAATTTCCGTTCGTTATATGGGATACACGCCCACTTATAAATGTTGAATAGAATCGGTATATAATTACAAAGCTCGTCCGGTATATTTTGGTTCCACTGTCTTGAATTTGCAAATTCCGCCCAAATTTTCAAATTTTGACAAAAGACTCATAATCTCCGACCCCGAAAAGGAATCGGACCATAATTACAAAACCACCTAACCACCGTATGTAACATTTTGAAATTTGTATACCGATTCAGTTACATAGCAGACTGAATGTTACCATCACGAAAAGCTATACAGGGTTGAAAAAAATCTATGCATATTTTCAACATTGACACCCTGTATCTCAAAAGTTAGGACGTTTACGACATAATATGTTCATATGAGGTTTTATTCTTGAAATGGGTCGAAGAATTAGCCCCTTGAATATTAGAATATCATTAAGGAACACCCTGTATACAGTGTGTCCCACTTACCATGCTCACCATGGGTATCTTTTTAACGGTGAGAGATACGAGGTCGGTTAAATGACACCAAATGTGGAGTTTGTCAAGGCCAACTATAATGTGAAAAAATATTTTGATAAAATCTATTCGTTTTTGTTTTATACGCAAAAAACAAGATTTTGATCATTTCCATGTCTCCTCCGTAACTTCTTTATTTATGAAAATATTCAAATAGGAATTTCACATTCTCGTGGCAGTTTTTCAATGTGATTTCGAAAAAAATATGAAATTTATACCAACTCTTCTAGAATTTGAGATATCAGCACCAACTTTAGTTTTTCAAATGAAGGTCATAGCTCACTATGACTTAATTACAAATAACTTTTTTTTCTCTTACAGATGATATGTCGCAGTAATAGTTTTGTGTTGATAAAAACGGAGTTATCGTCATTTATACAAAAACAAAAAATTATTTGGAAGTCGCCATTTTGAATTTATAAATTTCAACAAAAAAATCATGATCTCCGACCTCTAAAACCTTCACTTACCAATTTTGAATAGAATCGGACCAAATCTTGTCCGCCATCTTGGAGCATCCATTTTTTTTAATTTCAGCAAAAATTCCATAACTCCGATTAACTTGAAATTTGGCAGGTGCTTATAATTTCGGTGACAATACATTATGGAATTTTTGTTGAAATTAAAAAAATGGCTGCTCCAAGATGGCGGACAAGATTTGGTCCGATTCTATTCAAAATTGGTAAGTGAAGGTTTTAGAGGTCGGAGATCATGATTTTTTCGTTAAAATTTATAAATTCAAGATGGCGGCTTCCAAATAATTTTTTGTTTTTGTATAAATGACGATAACTCCGTTGTTATCAACACAAAACTATTATTGTGACATATCATCTGTAAGAGAAAAAAAGTTATTTGTAACTAAGTCATAGTGAGCTATGACCTACATTTGAAAAACTAAAGTTGGTGCTGATATCTCAAATTATAGATGAGTTGGTATGAATTTCATATTTTTTTCGAAATCACTTTGAAAAACTGCCATGAGAATGTGAAATTCCTATTTGAATATTTTCATAAATAAAGAAGTTATGGAGGAGACATGGAAATGATCAAAATCTGTTTTTTGCGTATAAAACAAAAACGAATAAATTTTATCAAAATATTTTTTCACATTATAGTTGGCCTTGACAAACTCCACATTTGGTGTCATTTAACCGACCTCGTATCTCTCACCGTTAAAAAGATACTGATGGTGAGCATGTTAAGTGGGACACACGGTATATACACTGTTGATGGCTTTTGTTGTGCTATAGTTCCGTAAAATGAGTCAATAATACCGTCTCCGAGAAAGAATTGCAAGTCCTTTTATCTTCCATTCGACTTCGCGGTTACGTATATTACTATAATTACTAAACAACCACTAAATTCGCAATTTTTTGAAATCAAATCACAGAATCAGACTGACAGAAGTAACATCAGATATTTGATTACTTCAGAAGAATGATAAAGATGCCTACAACGCAGGTGTCCCTACTGTTGAAAACTTAAAATTTCACGTCGATAATTTTCAGATTTCAAAATAATGTGATATCTTCTCAATATTGATCCGTCCTTTCCTCTGTCACAGAAAAAAATTGTGCCTTATACACGGGAAAAATATTAGATTTCAGCTCACGGTTTTTTGTCACCCTCCGCTACGCGTCGGGAGACAACACAACCTGGAGCTAAAATCTACTACTTTTTTTCCTTGTATAATAAATAACTATATAACCTTCTCCTGGTTCTAAGCTACCTCCTTACCAATTTTCAGACAAATCGAACCAGTAATTTCGGAGCCTATTCAATACAAACAAACAATCAAATCTTTCCTCATTATAATATCAGTATAGATGATTTGTATGACCTCTATCCGTACCGGACTCCTCTCGGTCGGCACGTACTCGATCTCCTCCTCCTCCGCATACCCTCCGTACCGCTGCCTGGGAGGAGAAACTTGGCCGCGACCGGGGGCGCAGTCGTCGTCGCTCGCCTCCACGGCCTCCACCTCCTCCTCCTCCTCGTCGGGGTGACGCAGCGTGGCGCCTCTCCTCTGCGCGTCGCGGTACTCCTCGGGCGTTATTTGGACGTTGTCGAGCTTCTGGAGCTGCGGCAGCGACTTTATGACGGCCAGACGGTAACTGGAAAAAGGGCTGTGTTTTTGACAGGATCGCCAGATTGTTTGGTTCAATTACGCCAGTCGAAATTTGAAAATTTCACAAATTTAGAATATTTCGAGCTAATTCTCCCAAAGAAATAATGTTTTTCGTGTGATGGGAAAAAGTCAGACATTAGTCGGGTTTTTTTGTCATTCTATGGTGCAGGAATTGTATAAGAACGAATAAAACGGCAAATAATGACACTGAAGTTGAACTTTTTTCAATCGAACACCCTATATATTGTTTTAGATGTATGACAAACTGACATTTATCATACAGGGCGTGGAAAGAAATTCTGAATTGAGAAAAACCCAATCACGAATCTGCGATTGAAGGTCTATAAAAATAACAAGTTTCCATCGTTCAAGTTTGAACCCCTTGATTGGGTATTAAAGTATTGAAAAGGAATATTCTCAGATATATTATAAACATGAAAAAATGGATACATTTGAATAAATACAAGAACAGAGTATGTATACTAGTATATTTCTCCCATACATTCCAATTTTCATAGAAATTTGGTAAGTAATATATTTTTTATATCGTTATATTCATCATAGTATTCATCCGATTCTGGAAGAGAATGTCAATTCTCAATTTCAGACGATATTCATTTTATGCTCAAATTCCTATCGTGTATGTTCAATTGATATAATTCAATGTTCGTCGTGGCATATAGCCAGGAAAGTAGTTGTTTTCTGTTGAATATGCCGAGAAAGAATTAATAATTTCATCACATAGAGAATGCGAATTCTCAATGTATTTATTCAAATGTATCCATTTTTTCATGTTTATAATATATCTGAGAATATTCCTTTTCAATACCCTATATATTATTTCATTTTGAGATTCTTCCTGGTGAGCTGATTTCAACAATCCATCATACTTGGGGCTATTTGAAAAAATAAATGAAGGCGTTCAGTAGTACAGAGACATCAATGTGAACCAAGTAAACTAAGTTATTCATTTGTCAGACCTAACCGTAACATTTTTCATGGTCCTGTCAAGTTTATAAATAAAAATCTGTCATGTGGAATCCCGAAAATGAAACATTATCACGAAGGATATTATCAAGTATGAAAAAAATCTACCTATACTTGAATGGAAGCAGGAAGATGTTTAGGCAATGCTGTATTAGTATGATTCATGATGCAACTTGAATTTAAGTTGGAACTGTGGAAACTTCGGAAACTCAATAGTGCTATTACACTTTTTCGACATGCAAGCCAAGCAGAAAGGTAGGGGCTGCTTTTTTCCTTCTATATTTTTGATAAGTTACTCTATAATTCGTGAAATTCCATTATTTGCAGTGTAAACATGTCTTTAGTGATGTAAACCATGTACACATCGGAATCACTATATACTTGAAAATTTCAGGTACCTACCTACAGCGAAGAGTACTTACATTAATAGCTTTTCAGTTGAAAAACGGAAAACTATGAGTGATGTGGAAGTATCACATTAGAAATCATTATGTGAGTGATGTTCAGAAGGAATGTACCAGAAGGATGATGATGTTCCAGAACAGAATGGAAAATTTACCATCTGAAATAAATATATAGAAGCACCAGTTCACAAGATTTTATGAAAAAACACACAAGAAAATGGGGCAGTGAATAAAATCAGAAACTTTTCATCCTGTAGTTCAATGAGCTGAATCCAGATAAGCAGTAAGAACAACGATTTGTTTGCTGGAAATAGCCAGGCATTTCATTCTAGGCTACAAATTATACACACCCCACTGTATATTCAATTTATCCATTTTTCAAGCAATCAATTAGATGATGAGGAACATGTGATATTCCACTCCAGCACAGTCAGGACCATTTTCGTAGTGAGCCACTCAGAATTTCACTAGAGTAAAGTGATTTCAAGATTGTATAGGAATCATCCTCAGATATATGGTATTCTATTGTTCAGGGTTCTTTGTCAAGATGCTGGGATATTTAGAATTTTTTATTGGAATATAACTTGTATGTATTGTATGAATGGCAATACAATTTAATTTTTTTAATAAATTGTACATAATTATGAAGAATTATTTCAATTTTTATTTTACTATATAGTTTGTTCTCTTCTGATACCCTGTTTATTGTTGTACAGATGTATTGGCAGATAAGTTTGAAAACACTATATATATTGTACAAATTAATATTGTATATAGGTGAAGTATTTTTGAAGTAAAACAATGATTATTTTTTATTAAATCATCTTATTGAAGCTACGAACTTCACTAAATATGAGAAGATGTGTCTATTATTGGCACAAATTAAACCACAGGAATATTCAATACCAATGTATCTTTTTAATTTATATTTAAGTCAACATTTTGAATGAACTTTATTATTATTTATTATCATTCTATAATATCTGTTCAAATGCCCGTTTCCTCCTCAGATGCTTCTTCATCGTCAGGTCCTGTTCCTTAAGGCAGGAATTCCTCTTCAGCATCATATTCCAAACAACATTGCCGAGTCTGAAAATATAAAAATATTGTCCCTAGTTTCAATGTCCTGTACCATTCTGAAATGAATTTAATGACTTTTGACTATGGAACAACTTTTAGAGGAACCAAAGTCAAGTTCTTGGTGAATTTCATACCGAAACTAATAATTAGTTAGTTAGTATAGGTACAAATTTGTTAAATACCATTTTATTTATATATTTCTACCTTGAACAAACTTGGGACCGTACTCTCTTTCCAAAACCGTTTCCTATTCTTCATTGGCAAGAAACAGTTCCCTTAAAATGTTGGAAACATATAGTATCATGTTCGCTTACTTCAGAAACTCACATTCCTGAAATATAAATATCATTGAGTTCCAAATATTATGTGATTCAAGAAAAAAAGTTCACCTTGATATCCAATGAATATGGCGTGAACCCATTGACGCCTCAGGATTTGAGGCTCAAATTCACAACAGTGGGGATTGGGGAAACCATGTCTTGATAATTCAATTACATTACACCTTCACCTCCTGGAGTGCGCAGTTTTCAGATGACATTGCAAAATAACACAATCGCACTCACAAACCAATCAACAAACTCTGATAGAAAACCAATACTAGAAGAAATGATTAGGTATAGGTATATAATTGTAATTTCCAAGAAAGGAAATCAAAGTTCAACACATCCACAAAGACGAAGTTATAAGTTAATGACAACTGTCAGAAAATAATTTTATGATTACATGAATCTTCTCCATCGTCTTCCTATCAAATATCACGTCAATGATGGAAAGCACGTCTGTGGTTGAGTACATATTGGAGAAAAATAGAAGAAGAGAATATCAACCTAATATGGTCTATTTTGACAGAAACAAATGAGCTTTTTCCATTTTCAGGATGCCAGCGCCACTTGACAGGCAGACAGATTTTGATTCAAAGAACAGACAATTATGTACCTCCTCGCGTACTAGGTCGCCTACTAGGTTTTCATTCAGATCGACAATGGTCTAGCAGTTATAATTACTGAGATATAGGGTGTGAGAAATCGAGATTTTCCAAGTTCAAGAATTTTTTGTGTCTAAACCATTCATAATTGGTCAAAACGGCTCACATGTCCCTATCTCAACTTTTGATCAACTATCTACTGACATTTAATTGAAACAAATACAGGGTGGTGCAGAATTCAGAATCTTGATCACCCGGTATATGTCCCAATAAAATATCAGTAGATAGTTAATCAAGAGTTGAGATAGGGACATGTAAGCCGTTTTGACCAATTATGAATAGTTTCGACACAAAAAATTCTTGAACTTGGAAAATCTCGATTTTTCACACCCTATATTTCAGTAATTATAACTGCTAGACCCAAAGTATGATGGCTCGTTGAAATCAGCTCATCAGGGAGATACTCAAAATGAAATAATATATAGGGTGTTCGATAGAAAAAAGTTTACTTCAGTGTTTTATGGTTTTTGGGGACACCCTGTATGTTTCGAAATAATTTTAAATGGTAGCCTATATTGACATGCAACTTCCTAGAGAGGAAGAATTCCAAGAAGATAAGTGGTTAGCCTTCTAGAGACCGAGGCGTTACTGGTGGCCCACCCTGTATATTGGAAAAGAAGTGAAGAAGAAACTTTCTGATGGACATTCCCTCAGGGTAGGAGTATGTACAGTTCATCATGACTCACCCTGTATATACATAATGATACCCTCCAAATGGTATACTGGGTGAAATCATGTCCAAAAATCTGCCGGTCTAAAACTATCGTTCATGACATTGGTGTTTTCGGTGTTTTAAATGAGATGTTCTAAACATAAGTAAGAGTAAATAAGATATACGTATGATTCGTGTTCTCATGGCATATCTTCTTTCTTCTTTCTTATGTTAGCGGTCTAAATAGTAGTTTATATCAGTGTATAATAAAATAAATGATGATCGAGGTTGGTAGAACTGTTGATTATTTGTAATGGAAGGTCTCGATCAGAAAACGCACATTCTCTTCCAACTAAACTAAGCCGCTTAGATACATACATACCCTTCTGAATTTGCACATGGATTTTCGCTCAGCCATAGGTTCTTTAAGTTGGGCAAGTTTTGGAGGTATACAACATCGCTGATTTCTCGAATTTCATTTTGTCTTATGTACAGTTCTTCTAGCCTCTTGCAGAATTGAAAATCCGCCAACGTGTTGATTTTATTTATGCTAGAAAATAATAAAGTGAATCAGTCATTAGAAACTAGTAAAAATACTTACAGGTGATTGACTATCGATTTCACAATTTCAACATTAGGTATATTGAAAACTAGTACATATCTTGAAAGAATTCTATTTTTTTTTATTTCAAATACATATTTTACATTTAATATAATATATTCCAATGAAGTATTGACATATCAATATTGACATCAATAGAGTAGGTATTTGAAACTGGTGGTCAATACATTTGTAGTTCTAAATAAATTTAATAGTTCACAAGATATTTGTGTGATGAAATGATGATATTCATACTCATAGTCAGTCACCCATACATACACAATATAAAGAATACAGACTTCTAGATAGGATAATAAGAAAATCAAAATCTACGCATTCTAGTATAATTATGTTCAAGCGTTTTTCCCGATGTATCACTGATATTTTCAGATAAATTCTGAACTGTATTGAAACATTCCACATCTCTAATATTTGTTAGCAGACCGAGGTCGACTGATGGATCTGGTCTGTCAAAACAGTATTTTCTCTGGTAACGCTATTCATCAATAGTTTTAGTTGACAAACCTTCATCATAATTGTCCTTTCATTTCCCTTTTCATTCATAAATAACTGAATTAATTGAATCCTGATTATAGTAAATTTATAATACCTATCCACTTAACGGTATAGCCGGTATTTAAGTGAAATGCGAGGTGAAATGGTATTGCTTTCATTAATTTTATTTTTCGTAAAAGCAATTACATTTTAAACATAAAAAGAGGGGTGAAATGACTATAGGTACTTCAAATTCAAACTAATGGAGAGTACATGCCATGACACATACAGTGTGTGTCCAGCTAAAACTTGTCACCTCCCTCATCTCCAAAGTCGTAAAAAAACTTTAAAATCGCTCGGAAAGGTCGATTAATTAAGCGGGGCAATTTTTTTTCTGTAACTTTCATATCCCAAAATTGAAACCTTGAAGCGGAACGGGCATCAACTTCCGATTTTCAAATGGAACACCCTGTATTTAATCGCATTTTTTTTAACGACCTCGGAGATAATGGGGCTGACATGTGTTAGCTGGGACACACTACACTGTAATTTATAAATGGCATCTCGGCATTTCTGTTGTTTCCAGACCCTTCGTACACCCTGTATATGTACCGTTGAAATCATTCATTCGTATCAATCTTTTTGTACAATCCATATCCTCAACTTTCCCATTATCAGGCAGAATTTCCTCATGGTACCTAGTCTATATTCCTACTCCTTGAAGCAGTAGAGATAGTTTGAACTGCGGTTACGGAACCAAAACAACCGCGAATCAATATTCATCATCCATCTCTCCTAATATGTACAGGTGGCGAGACCATAACAAATGATGAGTCACACCTGTGTGGGAGAGTTGAAATCCCTACAAGGCAGGGCGCGCCTCTGTCTACCTACGACATGTCGGAGAAAACTATACAGGGTGACACAGGAGACATGTAGCAGCCTGTAGTTTTTTTATTTGAAGAGATAAAATTTTGAAATTCACAGGGGGTATATAATAAATGGTAGCGCACTTTACGAAATTATCGACAATTTTTTTCAACCACCTGTTTGACCGGAAGTGACCCCAACTTTTTTTTTTTAATGTCACCCTGTACATTTCTTCAGTCTATCTTTCTTGCCTTGAAATTCCCTATCCAACCATGTATCACAAAGTGGCATTTATTTCTTAATTCGCTGTTGAATTGCTTTTTATTCAAAAAGAATAAGTTGGCTGTGACATGAATTCGATGATATATCGACACTTGGTAGGCTTGGAAATTTAAATATCATTAGTAAACCGATATTATTCAAAATGTTTTGATATTCTGATCAATGTCTGCAGGTTGTCAAAAGCTTGTTTGAGTCAAGATGAAAACCTTCGAAAATAACTCATGATATTGAGGAATCTAAGATAGGAACATATTTTTTCGAATTCAGCTACTCGTACAGATCGATGCAGTTCACGGAGGGACACCCTGTATACATTGTCCATGTTTCACGAGAACAAATAATACGAAATGAACACAGCAATTTTTACGGAATTACTCGAAAATGAACGAGTGAAATATTATAATTTATATACGGGGTGTCCGGAAAGGTCATGTCGTAAATGCAGGGCCTGATGATATTTCGTCATATTTTTTTATATCATGATTGCTGATAGGTAATCAGCAAAGAAATATAATATGGTCCAAATCGAAAGAATTCCACACAAAAATATCTCCCTCTAGCTCTCCAACGAACTCTAATAATTGCGAGAAGAGTATTGAATCACCATGTATATATACTACAGGACACTAAAAATGCTGGATAAAACATCTGTCGCTTTGCTTTGCTATTCTTAAGAATGGGAATTGGAACAAGGAACCGTATATTTCCGCTTGGAAATTCAACAAGAAATGAATGATGATGAGACTAATGAGTTATACCTCTACATGCAACAAAAGATTTTGTGAAACATACGTTCTAGTTCTAGAATCAACTGTTTTGCTAATTTATAACAGTACCTAATGGCTGTAATAGGATAATAGTATTTATACACACCCGTGTTTTCTCTTCAGTTTTAAAGATAATCGACATTTGGAACAATTCATGACCCATATACTGGGTGGTCTGGTTTTAAATTGCGTTACTATTACCAAAAAGTGTAGAAACCTAGGTAAAAACTGGTTTCACTTGAAAACGAAAACGACTGAGTATCAAGTGCTTGCAAAAAATAGAGAGAGTCATTAAATGTACAAAAAAGCCTGAAAATATAAATTCTGAAAGCTACAAAATGAAATGAATACTAAACAAAATGTTCATTATCGAATATCGACTAGTTCCACGGCACTGGGTAAAGTCGAATTTTTCTATGGCTAAATAAGAAAAGAAGTTTTCGATCGTCTATTAATACTACAAAAGCCACTTTTGGCAATATGAGAGCATTTAAATAGGAAGGAATGAATGGGTGAAGTCGAATTTTTCTATGGCTAAATAAGAAAAGAAGTTTTCGATCGTCTATTGATACTACAAAAGCCACTTTTGGCAATATGAGAGCATTTAAATAGGAAGGAATGAACTGACAAGGACAAATTGCAAATCAATAATTCTCGTGCCCTGTTTGCTGTTTTTCTTTGCTACCTACTCTGGTATTCATATCAAAACTTGTTTACGACCATTGACAAGTAGCTAGTTAATTGATATCGAGAATGTTGTATATTTACAAGCGAGATACAATATGAAAACATTGTTATATTATGTTTATATTATACCTATTATAAAACCCTCATTTATGAGATACAGGGCGGCTTTGAGAATTTTTTTTTTTTTTACCCCTTCAATACAGGGTGAGTCAGTTTTTTGTAGCAGGACTTCAACAGCTTAAACGAGACATTTTTCAAAGATGAAAATCTTCTATAAACATATGCGTGGGAGCTTTGTTTCCGATATACAGCATCAAATATATTGCGTTACCAAAGTGTACCAGGTGTACCAAATTTCAATTCATTATTTTGAAAAATGTAGTAGAAAATTTGAAGAACACAAAAAAAATCTCAAACTTTGAAGCCCTCTGTACCTATATCGGAAACGAAGCCCCCACACAAACATGTTTACAGGAGGATTTCATTTTAAAAAAATGTGGTTTTCAAGATGTAAGAATCCAGCTACAAAATACGTATTATTTTGAAGCCCATACAGTTTTCGAAAAATAAAAAGGGAGCAAAGAATATCAAAATTGAAGGGAAAATCTAAATTGAAAACAGAGGCAATACGCAAAAAATTTCGAGATGGTTTGTGTTCTGTGGGGTTAACTTCGGGTACGACCCTCAAAAGTCTATCATCCTGTAGGTAAGAATTCTCGATATTGCGTTTCCAAAGTGTGGTGAGTGTACCAAATTTCAATTCATTATTTTGTAAATTGTAGGAGGAAATTGGAAAAACAAAAAAAAATCTTAAACTCTGAGTATATCGAAACTCCCACGCATATATGTTTACATAGAATTTTCATCTTGAAAAAATGTCTTTCCTCAGCTGTTAAAGTCCTACTACAAAAAACTGACTCACCCTATACAGGGTGTATCTAAATAACACCGAAAAAATTCAAGAGGCGATTCCTTGTGATATTTTAGGAAATAAAGTTATATATAAACATGTGTCCTAACAGGGTATTAATATTTCCATTAAAAATCGTTTGTATACAGGGGAGTCGGACATTTTCACATCGACACATTATATCGGTATGTAACATGTTTATCGCATGTCACAAAGTGATGTCGCGTATACATCATTTATACATACCTATCATGGTTGGCTGGGCAATAAGTTTAAGAGTTTTTCATCAATATCTAGAAAACATATTTCACACAAAGTTTGAAGATCGTAAATGTTTCAGAGAGGGTATTGAATTTTATGTCTTTTTTCTCGTCTTTTTTGTTTTGTGCAATAAGCATCTTCTCGAAAACGAAGCAAGATTATCAAAAAATAGCCAAAGGCAGAAATGTTGCATTTTAGTGGGTAATTTTTTTTTTACAATAAAAATATCCGATTTGTTTGATTGGTACGCCCCTGGGAATTCTGGATCAAATTTAATTGGCTCAGTAAAACCATGGAAGTTTCATTCAAATCAGTTTAAGCGTTTTCAAGATCTTGATAAAAACTCTTTCTATCTCGGAAACGAAACATTTTCGGGCCCATGTTCAGATTAACTTTTTTTATATTTTGTTGAGAGGAATCTCCTCTAGGCTTTTGTCACCACAACTCTGAAACACCCTGTATATCTGCGATAGAAAATAATTCGAAAATCGAAAAAATGTGTGTATAGAAAGTTTACAAAATTAAACAATATTACAATTATTGGAAAGAATTATTGAAAAAATTATTTTCTGATTGACTGTACAGTCATCTTCAGAAAACATGTGGCACATGGACGATGACAGCATCCTTAATAACTCCTGCAATAAGAGCGCTGACACCGTCCAACCGCGACATGATCTCTGAGGACGACTGTACCTACCTCTTTTGTATTCAAATTCTCAGATAAGTACCTCTGAAAAAAATCTCAAAGCTCAAAATTGACTTTTGAATGTGTATTAATTTGGTAGGTAGGTATATTATGTAGTTGAACATTTTCAGATAAGTTGGGAAACATCCTGTATAAGTTGAAAAACTGTAGTGATTGTTGCTCATGAAAAGGTTCACTTGTAGAAGTTTCGTCAAATTTTGAAACTTGAGGAAGAGGAAAGTACATATTTCTTCCAGGTAAGGTTAAAATGAAGATTCAGTGAGTAGGTACCTAGTTAATAAAAATATTTTCACTTTTCATAGAATATTATATGGTATTATACATAGTTGCCTCATAATTTTATTAGTGGATTTAGCGCGTGAATACAAGATTTCACTCATTAAAGAAAGAGAGAGTGTGTGTTTTCGGTCCAAACACTTATTAAATGCTTTATAAGCTTTAATAGGTGACTATTATATTATCTTACTAATATCCATCTAATATCTGACCATATCTGACACAAATGATAGGTATCACTCTTTATATAATATAATAATTAAGTAGATATAATTTTCTGAGAAATAGGAGGTAAAATAAACTTACCTCAATGATAAAACTTCAACTGAGGGCATTTTTCTCAATAGTGAAACATCCACTAGTTCACTGCCCCTGTAAAATGAAATAATTATAATAATAAGAATAACAATGCACAAGTGCAAATTCCAATCACGATTCACGATCTGGTTTATGATTCATATTTCATATTATGATTTCATGAGATGAGTAGATACAAATAATTAAAAAAACTTACCAACAATTCAATCGTTTAATTTTTCCAAGATCAGAGATTTTTGTCCTGGCTATTACCATTTCTTCAGTCAATCTTTTTGCCATTTTAAAGATTTCTGACTACTATTTTAATGATTTAATTAATATTTGAAATAACATTTCCCCTGAACGACATCGCATATGTACACATACAACACCACTCGAAAGTCAACAACAAACTAAAGCAAAAAAAAAGAAAACAAAACGGGATAAAACATCCATAAAACATCATTCATAAAATAATACCTGTCATACATGTCATTGTCACAAAAAATTCTACTTCTTATTTTAAAATGCTTACTTCTTAGAGTACATTGGAATATTAGAAATGATGGAAATAAATTGGAGCTGGGTCCTTCATACCTGCTGGCGCAAACCAATGTGAAATTAGAACAAGAAAGAGGCCGATAAATAAAAAGAAAGAGAGCTTTAAGTTCAAGTTTGACGAGAGCAAGAGATACCAGAGTCAGAGTACTACCAGTAATGGAGAGAAGAAAAAACCGATTTTTGATTTTTGCTCTTTTCATTCGTTTATCGTTTGATTTTTGTGCAGATGTCAGTCACATTTTTTTACGCGATCCCGATTTTATTATAATATCGAAGTTACAATAATTCCATATTCTCAGTTTAATAATCAAATGTGATATCGCTCTTTCTAAATTTGACATTTTTCCGTCATCCCATTTCTGCGCAAGCGCATCGTCTAATCTTTAGACTCTCCTTTTGGGTCGGCTGGAAAGGTGGCAAGGTTAGTAGAATTTTCAATAATTTTATTCGAATTTGTAGTTCTGTTGAAAATTTCACGGTAATTTCACATCAATTTAACTATCAACCCACTTTTCACTTGAAAAGTGTACTTCAAAGCATAGCTATTTTGTTGGAAATTTAATTTTCATATGCTTACATAATACCTAATCATTCATTTTCAGCTAGAAAATGTTTGGTAGATTCGGTAACTTGGCCCCCGTGCTTGCCCAAAATGGGCAGCAGCAACAACAACGTGGCATGGCCACCTTAAAACACATCTCCATGCGTTTGAAATCCGTCAAAAATATTCAGAAGATCACCCAATCCATGAAGATGGTGTCTGCAGCCAAGTATGCCAGGGCTGAGAGGGAATTGAGGGCTGTGAGGCCTATCGGAGATGGAACCAAGCAATTCTATGAAAAGGCTGAAGTGACCCCTATTGCTGATGTGCCAGCTAAGTTGGTGATTGCCATAACTTCTGATAGAGGTGAGCTTTTCATATAATGATTGGTTATCTCTATTAGCTTCAGAAACTTATTCATCTATTTCAATTTCATTATTCATCATGATTCTTGTGTTTTTCATTGGAAGTTTGTTTCACTATTGTCTTAGGTCTTTGTGGGGCTGTGCACACCAGTGTGGCTCGTCATATTAGGAATGAACTGGCCATAGATGATCAGAATACCAAAGTTGTTTGTGTGGGTGACAAGTCTCGTTTGATTCTCCAGCGTCTCTATGGAAAGAACATCATCATGGCTTGCAATGAAATTGGCCGTCTGCCCCCTACTTTCATAGATGCCTCCAAACTGGCTGATGCTATCCTGAAATCTGACTACAAATTCAACTCTGGGGAGATTGTATTCAACAGGTTCAAGTCTGTTGTGTCTTACAACACACAGACTCTGCCTGTCTTCAGCTTGGCCTCTGTCACGGTAAGACAAGATTTGGTTTCAAAGTTATTCACTCAATAATTTATTTTCTTCATTAATTTCATTCAAATGCTCATTGAAAAAAGGCACTGTCTACATGACCGCCGCGGCTCTTGGTTACTGATACATGAACAACCGCCGGCGGTTAACTATTTTTATATAGAAGACTGCTGTGAAAGGAAGGAAAATATCGTTTCTGCATGAAAAAGGAGACTACTTTTTTAAACAAACTAACCTAACTCGCCTAAATAAACCTTTCTCCTGAGTATATTTTTCGAAATATTATTTGTGAGAAGATGTTGAATAAAAATTTGGCCTTACAGGGGTTGAACCCGAGTCACCACCGTACTGGTCGGGTACACTATCAACTGAGCTATCTCTTTGCTCAGAAGTACTCTCTATGAAGAAGGAAGAAATATCATTGAGGCGGTCGTGTAGACAGTATCTTGAAAAAATTGAACATAAGTCCTAGGAGGAAGTTTTTTTCATTTTTAACATATCAAATTTGAACCCAATTCATATTATTTGACTTGAAAAACTTACAGATAAATATTTTCAGGGGAATCATAGGAGAAGAATTGAAGAACGCCATTTTGAATGTTCAAATTCTGTCTAGTAAATCATATCATTATTATTTCCAAGAACTCATATTCCCTGAAGGTTCAAAAAAATTCCAATACCTTCTCTCCCCTAGGTTGGCATGATGTTTTTTGAACATTATAGGGATTCCCTTTTGTGCTCTCCAAGCGATAAAAAAAACCTTTAGATATGCATTACCAGGAAAATCGGACAAGAAATCAATTTTGGCTAGAAAATCGTTCCCCTCCAACCTCAAAAATATCTCATGAGAAATAATAAACATATCCAGCATATCACCCTGGGTAGGCATAATAAATCAATGGAAGTATTTTATAAATGAATTTGTGTTGTTCCTAATATTGTTTCTAAAGATAATAATATATTAGTCTCCCTATAAACAGTATTGGTCAGCGAATTTGTGTAAAAAATTTTCAACCAAAGCATTTTGCTCAATTGGTGAATATCTCACAAATATTTCCTTTTCATATAGATATATTTCGAAGACATATGCGCTCGTTTTTAGATCCAAAATTTGATTGGGTAATGCGAAGGTCAAGTCTCATTGGCTATAGTTCCGACACAAAATTCTGATTGGCCATTTCGAATATGGCGGTTTTTATTGACGTTATTGACGTTCTGTCAAATGTCAACAGTGTCAACCACCATGGGCATTCGTCATTGAGAAACAACAATAACAATATAGTATTCTTGTTTCTATATTCCTGGTGTGTATTAATTGTATTATATTAATTTAAATCGAAAAAACGTTACTTATTCATTACTGAGGAGTGTGGTGCAAGTTTTTTGGTGAAAATGACCGCCACTGTCTTTGGATGCGAGATGTAAACACAGATAGTCATTTGTCATCTAAATGAAAAGGCCTATTATAACTGATCAAGTTAACAAGACCTATTACATTATTTTAAGTGTGGATTTATGCAGCATCAATTAACAATTCTCAAGTAAGGATTATCAATTTCCAATTATGAGTTGAACTTCCTATATTCAATCACTGTGTTTATGCAGACAATTAACAATTGTCATTCACAGATAAAAAGTAGAAGGTTGGTCAACTGCTGGCTTTTCGCCTTTTGACTTACAGTGTATCCTCATCTCATTGGCCGATTCGTCAGAAAGCGCTTATCGAGGTCATAAGCTAGAAAGTCGGTTTCAGTCCGACTTTTGCGGAAAAAAGCTCAGATCGTTTGACAGAAATCACACAAATATTGACAAAATGAATACATATTGGTGCTATATCATGCAGTGTGGGAAACAGTACTGGAAAAACACTCCTAAAAATGTGATAAATGTGGTTTCTGGAGGACGTACATCTGAAATTTAACCAAATATGTGGCAGTCACTGTCACTTTCCCAACTTTTTCATGTGAACAGTGCGCCCGTTTTATTCAAGCTTTCTGCTGTAGGCATAAGCTGGCATGTGAACTCGCCATTACTGTGTGCAACTAGTATGCAGATGACCTTGTAGATGACCTAGGATTGGTCCATCTTTTGATGGAGAGTAACCTCAAAACAATTCCCGGTTTTGTGTTTCTTTTTACTTTTCGTTATTCCTACTATATTTTAAGTCTTGGCCCCACTTGTGATAGCAATATCCCAAAAAAAATAATGTTATGGTTATCCTGAATGGCTTGGAATGGACTTTTGAGCCTGTGTATTTTTTATTGTTAATTTGGTTTGCATAATGCTGGGTTTATAGATTCAATTAAACTAACAATTAGGAATCATCAATTAACAATCACCGATTAATAATCATGAGGGTGTTTATACATATCTGATGATAATTAAGAATTAGATGTGAAATGTCTATTGACTAAAGGTCAAAATGTTGTCAAAAAGTGACTTTGGTCTCCACAAATCATGAATCCATAAAAAATATTCCAATTAAATATCACCAATCTCCATTTGAACAATAACAAATCCAATCTTCATGTTCTGCCTCCAGAGTTTACTAATTCTTAGTTGTTAAGTTGAAAGTTGGCCAACTTTGTAATTCTTAATTTAAATGACAGATGTAAATGTATAAACCCTCATAGATATCTCCTTGTATTCAACATTTTAAATTCATAGTTGTTAGTTTATTTCTTAGTTCACTTGAATCTATAAACCCAGCATAAATGGTAACTTTTCAGCTACTCACTTGACAAGACCTTTTTACCTTTTACTGACTTGTGTAAGTACTTAAATGTATTTTAACACCAATAAATCTATCCATCTATCTATCTAAGAAATGTTAATGGGAAAATAAGGTTTTATTTTTATCTAAAAAATATGCCCCTGAAATCTTGATACTGAGTTTTGATACACCCTGTACGCTGCAGAGTGTCCCTTCTTAAACTTGTGCTAGTTTATTGGGATCACCTCTTGAGCACAACAAATGTTATGAGGAGTGTCCCTTCCTAAACTTGTACTAGCTTTTTTGGGATCACATCTTGAGCACAACAAATGTTATGTTCCAGGCTGCTCCCAAGCTGTCCATCTATGATTCTTTGGACGACGAAGTGGTCCAGAGCTACTTGGAGTTCTCTCTGGCCTCCCTGCTGTTCTATTCGATGAAAGAGGGCGCCTGCAGCGAGCAATCCTCCAGGATGACGGCCATGGACAATGCCAGCAAGAACGCAGGCGAGATGATCGACAAGTTGACTCTGACGTTCAACCGTACCAGACAGGCGGTCATCACCAGAGAGCTGATCGAAATCATCTCTGGGGCATCGGCGCTTTAAGAAAATTCCGGTTATCGTGAGAACGGGTACTCATTGGGGGTTTCTTTGAAATTCAAACTGTGATTAGGAGGTTTACAGATTTTTACAGAATTATTTTATTGATAGCAGTTCTGAATTGTCACTGTGAAATTGAATGTGAAGTGAAAGTAAGCCCAAATTCTCTGTCATCTTTGATCATTTTTATTCATACTTTACTGTAGCAATTCTAACTGTGGAGATAGTTGTGATTTCAACTTAGATTTTGTTTCACATAATAATCCATACCCAGGGTAGTAAATACTTTGTTTAATTCCAAAACTAAATGAAACTGTTTATTGTCTTCTTATCTCAGCTCTAATTTTGAAGAGCCTCAATTAGTAATTGTTTGAATGGTAATTTCCAATGAAATCAATTGAATCCTAGAAATAATTGAGAAAATGAAAGCTCATTCTTTAAATTTAAGTTGAAATATTAGGAATAGAAAAGTGTGTGATTATGGCAGTAAACATGAATCTAAAAAGAAAGTAAGCCCAAATTCTCCAATGATAAAATTTTTATATTCATATTTACTGTTATGTTATTGGTATAATTGGTGGTGAATAAAAATATCTAACATTGATGCATGATTTTCCTTGATAGGTTTTTCAAGAATAATGAGAACCTGAAAACAAGATTTTTTGGTATAAACTTGATCCTTGAATTGATAACCCATTGTGAAGCTGCAATTTTCAGAGACCGGCTGATGAGACCTGGTGGGTCGAAACAGTACTGTCTCGCTCCTGCTGACAATTGGGGCAACTCTGTTCATCCTAGATCTCTTAGTTATGAGATCTAGCAGTTGAATAGGTAGTGGGAATATCCACTCAAGTATGGCAGGTAGTGCCATCTGTCAGCAGAGTGGTTTACTTGTAGTACTACTCTAGCGTATTCACGGGAATCAATGTTACCAGGTGGCGCTTGGTTTTCATCGTTCCATGTCAAAGCCACGTCAAAACTAGGGGAAAACAAACTCAATCCCATTAGTGCCATAAGCTTGTGTACTCTAAGAGTGATAAGTTTTTAAATTTCTTGACATTAATGGTCAATATTCGATCGAAAACGCTAATAATGCCTGTTGTAGATGTTCTTTTGGCAGATATTTTGCTCTATTTAGATGGAAAAAGCCGACCAGTACTGAAAGTGATTTTGTGTGAGGCAGAAGACTTCAATAGAAGGCACATTTTTGCACTTTGTCTACAAACTTCGGCGATGAAATCTTCCCCACATGAAGTAAAATCGAAGTTGGGGTCCAGAGGAACTCTTGTAGAACCGTAGAACAATGGATTCGTATTTGTTCATGTAAAGCAGGTCAATCTGGGTATTGTAAACATGTAGTAGCTGTTTTTTTATATGTCAATTGATTTGCTCATCATAATTAGTTTGAATTGTTTGAACTATTTCCAATTCTTCACCCGTTCACTGTTCACTATACTAATAAAGATGTAATAATGTAAGAAAATTAACGAATTCAACCATCATCACTACCAACCCTGTTGTATGATCGAAGCTACCAACAGTGCCAACACTTCATGTCATTGACAAGTTTGACTACAGCTACAGCAAGCTGAATGCAATGTAGTCTATGCACTTTATCCATAGTCAACAGTTTGTTTTCCCCCAGATTGAAGTTCGTATTATGTAACCTAGATGTCGCCCACTTCGTGAATCTAATCTAGCGAATAGACATGAGGGTATGTACGTGTGACTATAGATGGCAGCGCCATACAGTATGTGTCACGATCTCTGGATCCTACCTTAGAGCTTTGCCACTAGATGGCTACAACATGGCAATAACTTTATGTTATACCAAAGAGGAGAGGTGACTAACCTACTATTCTTTGATACCCTGCCTTTTCATTAATTCAATCTGCATTGATTGGTATAATCAGTATAAATTATCAAGTGCTATGCACCCAACTAAACCTATGCACCTAGTTGAGAAAAACTAAGTGTTACCAACTTCATATTTTATTAACTACAAATATTTTGAGGGATTATTTGCATTTATATCTCATCAAAAAATATATTCTGGCACCTGATACACCTCTTGATGCCTGATTAGTATGTGGTGGTATTGTAATGGGAAATTATAGATTCTGGATATTTCCTTGATATCAATAATAAACCATCCCATCATTCATTTCACCAATGTTAAAATAGGTAGGTAGGGGCCTACATGTCTTAGATACATGGCAAACTTGTCCATTTGTAGTTTTTACTCATTTTCATCTGGCTCTGTTGACTTTTCTGAATCACTACTACTGCAATCATCTTCACCTTCTTGTATAAGTAATCTATTGAAATGTATTTTCACCATCTCCTCTTTCACTCGATCTTCTTGTTTCTTCAAGATATCCATAGATTCTGGCAGAGGAATTAGTTTTGTTGGTTTAACATAAGGTTTACAGTCTTCTACTATCTTGTAAATCTTGCTGTCTGGGTTAATTTTCATAGTTTTGTTCAATGTTGAAAATGGTTTGTATCTTTCTTTAGCTGGGCTCTTTTCAAATTCACACAGTTTTTGAGCATGTGTTTCTTGATCACTGATAGACAGTTTTCCAATGGAACTCTGAATATCATCTAAACCTTTTCTATATTCTATTTCATTTTTAACCTGATCTCGAAATTGTCTGATAGATTCCCCTTTGTCCTTCAACTTATTGATAAGCCTTATATTTTTGAGCAAATTTTCTTCGCGTTCCAGTGTTTCTTTCAATTCTATCAGAGCCATTTTTTTCAAACTTTCTCTCTTTTTGGGTAACTCCATGAGAACGAATGTGCTTGTGCGAACATTCTGCAAACATTAAATAATAAATAATAAACATGAAGTTTGCATTGTTTGCAAAGCCCTTAGCCCTTAATTCATCATTCTAATAAGTATGGAAGTCTTCTATCATTCTTCTGACATTCTTCTATTACTGTTGATATTTGAGTTTGAACTACTGTAAACATTTCCTCTATTCCTCTTAGCACCTCTTCTTCTTCATCGTCTCAGGAATTGGGCTTCAACCTCAACGGTCAATGTCACATCTTCAAGGTCATGCTACTCGTGCTGTGATTTGTGATTTGATATTTTTCATATTTTTGGTTGTTGACGTATGCATTCGCAAATCGCATGTACAATACAAGTATTATTTGCTTTTTGCTTATCTCCAGATAATTTAAAAAATTGCTGATAACAATGCTCCACTTACTATATAAATCAAGTTACGTATTCATGCTTTTCTATTATGCTATCATACCGTTGGGTTATTTAACGAAGTAAGTAAATTCAAGGTAAGTTGAATATTCCCTAAAGAAAATGTTCACTGTCATCATCAGCATAATAAAATATTGTTTTTTTCTCAAAATTTTTGCGTTTTGATTTCAGGTGGTGGGTCACAATTGAGAAAATGAAGGGTAACAGCACAATTTTGGTGACAGGAGGTGCTGGCTATGTAGGATCTCACACTGTAGTGGAGCTTCTAAACAATAACTATACTGTGATAGCCGTAGATAACTTAGTTAATTGCTATTCCAGTGGAAATGAGAAACCGGAGGCACTGAAGAGGGTGGAAAAAATTACAGGGGAAACTGTTACATTTTATGATATTGATATCAGAGACAAGGAAGCTTTGGATAAAGTTTTCAAGACTGTACGTTTGCAATGCACAATTAACACAGTTCTAACAGCACAAGAAGAGAAAATGTTTTTAAACATGTTTTTTTTTACTCATTTGGGGCTCAATGTATTCATCATGGTGCTCATTTTATTTAGCTAATAATTATATTGATGTTTCAGCACAAAATTGATGCAGTCATTCACTTTGCTGCTCTCAAATCTGTTGGAGAGTCTGTTCAAATCCCCCTTACATATTACCAAAATAACATTGGGGGGTCTAGTACACTTTTTGAGGTGAATTGATCATTAATAAATTGTTTGTTCACATACTTTTATATTAATTGTGTTACAGGTTATGGCAAATAATGGAGTGAAGAAATTAGTGTTTTCTTCTTCTGCAACAGTTTATGGAGATCCTCAATTCTTGCCAATTACTGAGTTGCACCCTACAGGCCAGGGTTGCACAAATCCTTATGGAAAAACCAAATACTTTGTTGAGGAAATTTTAAAAGATTTGTGTACCTCAGATCAAGTAAGTTTAAGGATACCTATACCTATATATGCCAAGTTTAAAAGGTTTCTCAACCACCAAGAATCAAAATATTTCTCTATTATTATTAGAATTGCTGAAGAGCATCACTGTAAAACCTTGCCATCATTATTACACAGAGCATCAAAAAGTTATTGTTATTTACAGACAGTCAAAAGTCTGTACCTATTCAACAATCACTGAGAAACCGACCATGAGTTTCAGCCACCATCTCCCAAATTATCCATGCAACAATAAACCCCAAAGGACCCCTTATTGTGAATTTCAGACAAAAATCCTAACTTTCTCAATATACATGTGGATGACAGCTTGTTTTCATAAATGTGTTACTCTAAAATGTGTACCACTAATGGTACTTGATAATATGAATATCCCACAATATTATGTCAAGGCAATAATTAACCCCACAGGCCCCTTTTTCAAAAATTTCGAAAAAAAAATGAAAACTTTTAAAATACACCTGCATGGGAGTTTTGTGCATATCTCCCAATATTCCGTTGTGCAAGCATTAACCCCATAGCCCCCTTTTTTGAAATTAAAAAAAAATCATCTTTTTCAAAATTCATATGGATAGGAATTTTTTTTTTCTATGAATGTGTTCCACTAATTATACTTGATAATATGTATATCTCACAATATTTGGTCGGGCAAGAATGAACCCCATAGGCCCCCTTTTTTGGAATTTAAAAGAAATCATAACTTTTTCAAAATACAGGTGCATAGGAGTTTTTTCCATAAATGTGTTCCTCTGATGATAATTGATGATGTGTATATCTCACAATATTTTGTCGGGCAAGAATCAACCCCACGGGTCCCCTTTTTAAAAAATTTGAATAAAAAAATCATAACTTCAAAATACATGTGGATAGTAGTTTTTTTTCCATAAATGTGTTCCTCTATATCTCACAATATTTTGTCGGGCATGAATTAACGCCACAGGCCCTCTTTTTCTAGAATTTTGAAAAAAACGTCAACCTTTTCACAATAGACGTGGATGGGGGTTTTATTCCATAAATGTGTTCCTCTGAGGTTAATTGATGATGTGAACACATTTATGAAAAAAAACTCATCCATATGTGAGAGAGAGGGAGAGAGAGAAAAATCTTTATTGGAGAATTACCCAAAAGGCTATCGACCGAAGTCTTTCAGCCTACATCCATATGTATTTTCAAAAAATTATGATTTTCATAAAATCAAAAAATGGGGAACTGTGGGGTTAATTCTTGCCCGACAAAATATTGTGAGATTTGTGAGATATACAGTGTGTACCACCCCTGTAAAATCGTTATTATCTAACCAATTTCAAAAAACCTTTTTTTTGTTGGATAGGTATTTGAAATGCCCATCCCCATAAAGGGGACCCGTGGTGTTAATTCTTGCCCGACAAAATATTGTGAGATATACATAATATCAAGTATCAAAGATGTTTTTTTTTGCGGATTTCCAAAAAACCGGTCTTGTGGGGTAAATTCTTGCCCTATAAAACATTGTGAGATATACACATCATCAATTACCATCAGAAGAACACATTTATGAAAAAAAAAACATCCATTGTATTTTGAAAAAGTTATGATTTTTTTCCGGGGGATATTTTGGAGGTCTCATTAATTCCATGGCCAGGCAGAAGTATAAATTAGTAATAAACGACCATTGGTGGAATACTTGGTGAAGATGTGGCTGGAACTTATGGCTGGTTTCACACTGATTATTCAACATAAGGAATGACTGAAGTTGTGATGTCATATTGCAAGGTGAATTATAATTAAATATTGATAAGGTCAACTGGTAGCAGATACCTATTATGATTTCAGTTATTGGTTTTCAAAATTCATTTTTATATAGTAACACTACCTGACCCGGCAAACGACGTATTTATTACAATAGTTGATACCCGGCAAACGTTGTTTTGCTATACATATACGTTTATTCCTAGGAAATATTTTTCTAGTTAATTATTTATCAACACAGGAAAGTAGTTATTTTCTGTTGAATAAACCGAGAAAGAATTAATATTTTCATCACATGGAGAATGCAAATTATCAATGTATTTCTTTATTTATATATCCATTTTTTCGTGTTCATAAATATATCTGAGAATATTCCTTTTCAATATTTATCAACACACTTAAATTATTTTGTTTTTTACTTCTTGCTAGTATATTCATAAAATCGTGTATCATTAGTATTTTTTACTACTTTTTTATTTTCTACTCCTTTTTAGTGAATATCTATCTCGTTTTTTAAACTATAGTATCAATTTTTCACTTCTATTCAGTTTGGCCTCGAGTTTGGCTATCAATAAAAGCGTGTTTCATTATAGTTTTTCAAACTACTATTTATTACAAAGCTCTTTCGCCATATTGGATCTGCCATATTGAACTTCCCAATTTTAAAGAATGAAATCATAATCTCCAACCCCAAAATCACCCAGATACAAATTTTGAATAAAATCGGATTATATATTGTTGAAAACTCGTCCGCCATATTGGATCTGTCATCTTGGATTTTCAAATTTTGATGAAAGAATCATTATGTCTGACTCCGAAAACCCCCAGATACCAATTTTGAATAGAATCTGATCATAATTTGAAAAACTCGTCCGCCATTTTGAATTTTCTAATTTAGACGAAGGATTCCTAATCTCTCCGACTCCGACAACCCCCAGATACCAATTTTGAGAGGAATCGGACCATAATTAAAAAATTCGTCCGCCATATTTGATCCGCCATTTTGAATTCCCTAATTTTGATGAAGAAATCATGATCTCCGACCTCGAAAACCCCCCAGATACCAATTTTGAATAGAATCTGACCATAATTACAAAACTCGTCCGCCATATTGGATCCACCATTTGGAATTTTCTAATTTTGAGGAAAGAATAATAATCTCCGACCCCGAAAACCTCCAAGTACCAATTTTGAATAACAATACTCGTCCGCCATATTGGATCCGCCATTTGAATTTTCGATTTAAAAAATAGATTACGACCGATTCTCATACGTAGCGAATACGCACAAAAAATTCCATACGAATCGGTCGAGCCGTTTCGGAGGAGTTCGACCACTAACACCGTGACCGGGACAGGAGAATTTTATATATTAGATTTTCAATTAAATGGTTGTCATGCAAATGTCCATTGAGTGATTATTCTGATATCTGATAGATAACATTGTTATATAAATTTCCATAGTTGATTCAAAAATGGTTTACATTTCAGGAATGGAAAGTAGTTTTACTCAGATACTTCAACCCAGTTGGGGCCCATGAGTCAGGTCTCATTGGAGAAGACCCTTCTGGAATACCTAACAATCTCATGCCATACATTGCTCAGGTTTGTTGAATAAAACTTTCATGGTACCTATTATATACCTACCAATTTCAAATATTGCTGCCAAATATTTTTTGTGTACTCATTTGATCAAATATTTGACAATGTTACTTTTGCTGTATTAGCCTTATCTCAGTTTTATTCAAAAGCCAATATCAATATTCAGTAAAAGAAAACAAGTGTACTTACTTATATTTATCTATAAATCTGTGTCTATATGATAGGAGACAAAGATTAATTAGAAAGATTTTTGTTGACAAAGCTCCTGAGAAAATAAATGATTCATGAAAACATTGAATTGCTTTGAAATGAATCTTAATGAAAGAATATAATAATATGTTACATTCTCAACTGGTATTTTCATGCAACTACAGTAGGAAGAAATTAGCACAAACTTAATTTGCTCATGAACCTTTATTGTATGGAAATCAAATAATTAAATAAATGAATACATTCTAAAATTTTTTAATATCAAGTCAACCTAACACAAAATTGTGATATACATTATTACCACACGAGAACAGATCAACACTTCCACATACTACCAGCAACTAATGTTGAAAAAAAAAAGAACTACATTACAAGCTCTCCAATGGTTTAACCAAATTCCTGAACATATCAAAAACAGTACGTCCATTGAAACTTTCAATAGACACATGAAAAAACTTCTTTTGGAAAATATGTGTATGTATAAAAAAGTATCTCTTCCTACATGCACTACTTGTAATTTTAGTTATTGAAGCTACAAACATTATTATTTAATAAGTAAGTATAATTGATAATTATACAAGTTTGTTGACATGCAAGTCAAACATACAGGGTGTCCCTAAAAGATCTTTACAGAAACTCACCATATATTCATCAGACCAAAACAATTCGATACAAGCCAACTTACCTCAATACAAAGTTGCTTAGTTTCTGCGCTAGACGGCACTAAAGTTACAATTTTCAAATCGTTTTTGCTGCATAACATTGAAATGGCTTATGAGATTTCACTCAAATATGGTACACTGGCATAGCTTTATTGGACAATAAAGCTTATATTATGATAATGAGAAATATCATTCCATAGGCGTAGAACTTGATTTTTTCAGTAAATAAACATCTAAAACTTCTACGCCAATGGGAAGAAAAGGGTTATGAATATAAAATTTTGATTGCCTAACTTGTTCTCTACAAAAAAGGTATACTTGATAACATTCGATTACTCTCATGGTTGCGTCAAAATTTGAATTTTAGTAATTCAAAGCATAAGTTAAATTGAAACGATCAACAGATATGTCATGAAAATTTTTCAAAATGTTCATCATTTTCACGTATACAATGATTTATACCGCGAAAACAATGGATACAAACAAATACACCTTTGTACATAGTCGCTCGACCTGGGCGCTAGACGGGTCTGGCTTACTCAGAACAAAAAAAAACAACAAAAAATTGCTCATAGAATTTTTCCGTTTTTTTTTCGTCGTATACGTGGAAATGATGAAATTTTTTTACAATTTTTTAGAAATTTCTGTTAATCGTTTTAGTGTTGACTGATGCTTTGAATTACTAAATTTCAAATGTTGTCGAAACCATGAGAGTAATCGAATTTCATCAAGAGTACCTTTTTGTAGTGAAGAAGTTATGCAATTCAAATGTCATATTTAAACCTCCGTCTTTCCATTGGCGTAGAAGTTTTAGATGTTTATTCACTGAAAAAATCGAGTTCTACGCCGATGGAATGATATTTATCAAAATTGTAATGTGGGTTTCATGGCACAATAAAGCAATGCCAACGTACCAAATTTGGAGAAAATCTCATCAGCCGTTTCAAAGTTATGAATTAAAAACGATTTGAACATTGTAACTTCAGAGCCGTCTAGCGCCCAAACTAAGCAACTTTGTACTGAGGTAAGTTTACTTGCATCGAATTTTTTTGGTCTGAGGAATATGTGATAGGTTTTTGTAAAGACCTTTTAGGGACACCCTGTATAATAATTGTACATATGTTTATTACTCATTATGGAACTTGTTATCTCTTAGAGTATTCAAATAAATTAAAAAAAAATCCAAACACAATCTGGTGTGAAATTTTCTTACTTCATACCACACGAGGTTGAGATAGTTTACAAAATGTTCATGAGCTCCAAAAAATCTTCGGAAATAACTTAACCTCTAGTGGTATTACACGTGAAAATATGTGCTATTGTTGGACTTATGAAGTAATAATTGATATTTTTTCAGGTCGCCGTTGGACGTCGTGAAAAACTCCAAGTTTTCGGCGCGGACTATCCCACAGTCGACGGCACAGGAGTCCGGGACTACATCCACATCACCGATCTGGCCATAGGCCATCTCAAGGCACTCGAGCGCATGTTCTCGCCTTGCTTCAAGTCTTGGAAAGCTTACAACCTCGGCACCGGTAGAGGATACTCTGTCCTCGAGATGGTCAAGGCTTTTGCGAAAGCGTCCGGGAAACCAATCAACCATGAAATAGTTGGTATGTATGGTATTCGCGGTAGTCAAGGTCATCTGACGTTGCGATGACATGAAAACTACGGGAAAACTAGAGTCACTGGATGGTATCAGTTAGGGTCCCTTGATGCAAACTGACGTATTTGTCATCTAACAGAGTACAGACAGATCATAGCTCCTTTCTCTTTTAATCATCTAGTGACTTTTTGGTTTCGTGTATTGGCATCCCTGACATGACATTGCTGTCACGTCACACTCATAGGCATTAAAAGAGATCTTACATTTCAATTTCATACTTGATCTTAATACGACATTATTCAATTCTGTTTTGGAAGGATGGTAAAATGTGCTGCTTTAGGCTGTATCAATCAGTTGGATGGCAAATTTGAATTTGGTAGCTTTCCATCAATAAATGCAAATGAACTTAGAAGAAAGAAAGTGAAGTGACCGAATGGGGAAAATTGGTAAATACATCAGCAAAATATTCGAGGTAAAACTAATACAAAATCACATGTTATACTTTGTCATTGTGCCTATAATTATTCACTCCCCAAGTTTTTGAATGCATTTTAGTAGAAACTGTTTTGATTAAAACGGAGGATTAAAAGAAGAGGCATATACCCTACGGCCCTACCATTTAAAAACCTATACACATCCAGGGAAAAATTAAGCGTTCGTGAAAAACTGCAAAAATGATTCCCAACATGAATATATACAGCACACATGACATATGAGCACATTAGTTTTAATGCCTACATAAAATTTGTCACCATTTCTCAACCAGGCTTAGTCTGAAATCAAAATTCATTTATTGATAGGTACTGCCTAAGGACAGTCCCGTTTGGTAAAACGTATTAAACTTTCAGAAAAATTTGCCTACTGCCTCAAGATTATGCTGGAGTTAAAAAATCAAAAACTCGAAAACTATCATCATCATCATTTGAATATAATATATAGAGTTCAATGAGAAATTACATGTGGAAATTATGCATGATACGCCAATGTCCTCAATATAACCTAAAAAACAACAAATGTCAGAAATCTAGTGTTTATCCCCAGAAATGAATAAAGATGGAACTACTGCATCATAGTCGTTCCGCACTTTTTCATTCAAATTTGTTTGAATTTGACAATTGATTTTATTCATTTACCATTGAGAATTACAATTGTGGGAATTCTGAAGGGAATGGATCTCATTTATTTAATTTTCCAAAGGAAATATCAACCATTATTTTATGGAAGTAATGCATGAACCAGCTTGGATGGAAAATTTATTTAAAGACAAGCAAAATTTATGAGCTACAAACATTAAAATGCACTTCTTATAACAGCAGATTAGAATGATACTATATTTTAGACCCATTTCCAAACAAAAGGTTTCAAGATCAGTTTGAGAGAATCTACTGTTCATCCATTTACAAAACAGACAAAAAAAATATTATTATCATCACATAACTTTCAACCCTATGAGTATATCAATATTATGTGTCTATTTTGTCATATCAAAATATTCTTACTGGTTCTAACATGCATTATTTTCATTTTTATAACAGTTGTTCTGTAAAAAGTGTATCGTTATGAATTGAAGTGGGTGCTTATACCCTATTTCTACTTTCCATCTACGGCTATGATTGATTTGACAGAAAATCTAACCTCTAAAATCATATCTGAAAATCAGGCGCTACTTGGGAAATTGAAAAGAGAAAGCGCAAAATATATGTCTCATTCTTTCATTCACTCAAACCATTGTAATATGGAAAATAGAAAAGGACAGAATTTGAACTGTGTCCGAAATCTTATGTACTATACTATCCAGTGACTCTAGGGAACACTCCTGGCTCAGATTGCAAATAGTTTTCATAATATCATAACTACTATCTAGACCGCTAGTGCTATAAGAAGATCAAGAAGGTAAGCCACTGAATCGAGATCGAACCGAGGTACATGAATCATGCGCATTTAGTTTAGGACCTGTCATTTATCTTACTATCTCACTCTTACTCATGTTTCGAGATACCAAGAAACATGACTCGCTGTCATAAACGGCAAATTGAAAGGGTCTTGCGCATTGAGCAGAAGCGTTTGCAGACGAGCAATTTGGATATTTGCGGGTTGCTAAGACATGACATATAGCGGTCTAGATAGTAATTATGCCAGTGTATTATGCTTTAAACCCAAAGATCTAATAATATAAACTACTAGATGTGGTACTCTTGCTCTACCAATGAGAGAAAGAACCATGGACATTGCACCATTGAAATACCAAGACCCCCTATAGTTATGCTTGGTATTTTCATCAGCAATACTCTTTCACGCAATAATCAGGTCAGATTCATTGTGAAAGCTGCGTCCAGAAGACTCGGATTTTCATACCAAAATCTACTATACTCCTAAACACCTTCTCCTGATCTACAAAACACAGATGTTCTTTGAACATTATAGGAATTTCCTCCCATGTGCTGCAAGAGATAAAAAAAAGTTGATCAGCAGAATCCTTCTCTTTATCTCTCTTTTGTTTCTGTTGTTCATTGGTCGTGTCCTCCATCTTTCTCTTGGTGCGACGTTTTCAATTTGATATTGTCTATACTTGTCACGTGCCTGTGGGTAAAATCTCGCTGTGTCTCACTTAGTTGATCCTCTCTCCGTATGGGCCATCTTGTATAATGTATATTATCATTTCTTTGGTTAGAGCTACTGTTGCCCAACATTGCCATTAGCTCCGCCCAGTAGGCGTGGCATTAACTTTGGGGTAGTGGGGATGAACGGAAGTGGCTCATCTCCTACTAATCTGCAGAAGTGATGCCAAATTGCTCATTCGAATGTTAGAATTAATCGATCCCTACGTTTTACTAAAGGTAGAAGAGGCGGAGACATTGCTGAGTGTTACGCTGACGCAACTTTGGCCAAAATTGATCTGGACTGGGTAGCAACTAGGGACATTGAAGCAATGTGCAGGGATACTTGGAACTGGCAGAAAAAGAACCCTAAAGGCTTCCACAGCTCTTGAGAGACGGTACATGTAGTTGTTGAATTACTGTTTTTTTGGTAAAGTTTGTAGCAAAGGACGTTAAAAGCATTGGGAATAGATAATAATGTTGACTAGCAACAAATCTGAGCCACTATTTCAGCAACAAAAATTATTGAGAAATATATTTCAACATTTATTCACAGTTATTATGTTTATATAAGTTGTGAACATTATTTATTCAAATTTGCATTTTAAATTTTGATTTTATTTTACCTTTGTTCCTTATTGTCTGACAGCCCAGTGATATTGCTTCATTAATTTATTTATTTTTGTTGTAAAATATTTATATTGTGTATATATATGTTGAATGTTTAGTGTGAGTATTCAATTCAGTATTCAATAACCACTTGGAGTTTTCTCCTGGATTGAAAGAGTGAATCGAAAATGACATACCTAGTGATGTTTTTTCAAACAAAAATAGTTTTGATTCAGTTTTTTTGAAGAGAAAACTTTGACAGGTTCAATTTTATGTAAAATATAAATACAGACAATAAAATGTTATTGTATATCAGGATATACCTATTTTTTTCTAGTTCCTTCCTATATCCCATGCAGTAGGTACTAAAACATGTGTTTGAAATTAAAACAATCAAAGTATTCTAAAAATATATATATTTCTTAATGTAATAGAGTTAATACTCAGATAAAATACATTTGCATTATTTTACAAATTTTACAAAGTCCCAACAAAAACACTATTTTAGGATTCAGAAACTTTGAAAAAACACAAGATACACCAACATCACATCAGTAGCATTTTCAAAATCCTGTTGGAAAATAATACATAAAATATATAATAATGAACATTCAGTTATTTTCTATAGTAATTCTCAACGGGTTGATACATGGAGTTTCCTTACAGTACTGCACATGTGTTTCCTATGATTAATAGTTCTCTTCAGTTCCTCTATCAATTCTCTTGGTAATTCCAAGACATCTGCATCTTCAGTGTTCCTCAGTCGATTCCGTATTGATAATAATGCAGCATATTTCAAACTATACATTGGGAGGGTGACATACACCCTCATCCTCATTTCATAGTGCTCAGGGACTATCTTATCAGGGTACCTCTCCTGAAGATATTCAGCACTAGTTTTCGGTAAAAACAAGAACTTACTATCAACATGCATTCTGTCTTTGGTGATCTGGTCTAGGGCCATCCAAGGATGCGTTTTGTATGTATTTACATCAAGGTATTCGTCTTTTCTGAGTACTTGGTACCGCCAGTACTCCCCCTTGAAATTTATCCAGACCAACTCAATGGTTCGGTCCGTTTTGTTGATAAAGCGGATGTATGCTTTCTCATCGGATTTTAAGGAATGTAAGTCATTGTCCAATTTGTCTCCTCCGACAGGAACCATATATTTGGACATATTCAGAATTTTTACAGGTTAGGTTGTTTATGTTATTTTCTGTTTTCTGTCTGTGCTACTGCTACTCCAGATTGCGTCAGCTGATCATTCCCACCAATCCCACCTTTATTCCCTTCCCTCATTTCAATTTCACTCAATTGTGTTTTGGTTGTTTTTCTGTCATGCTCCTCGTCTGTGGTTTTGTTGTTTTTGTGTTGTAGGTTTGTGCCTTGTGGATGAAAAATGGCTGTGTGTGTTGGAATAATCGGGAAAGATGTAAGTTTGCACACAGGTTTCCTTTATTCCACTTCAAAGTGCGCTAAATATTACAACAATTTTAATTATTTATAATGATAACATCAAAATATAGAACTATAGAACAAGAACAAGGAACTTCTAGACTGACATGCGTCAGTGTCAATTTTCGAGCATTCAGTGTTGACACTGTTGCCAAATTAGCCATAGACAAGTTTCTCAGACAAATTAAAATGAGAAAATTAATATTGGAAAAAAGTGGATTAAAATTATACTGCTTCAGATTCTAGCAAAAGACGCGCGTGAGCATCTCCATCACTCTCCAAAATCCACATTCGGGTCGATTCTGTTTGCAAATAGCAATATGGTTTTAGGGAAGATATTGCTATCATAGCAAGATTCGAAAAAGTGGAATTCTAATCATCGATTTTTGGCAATATGATCTGTCAATTTCAACGACATCTGGAGCTTTCTTGCTATCTCGGCAACATCAATTTTGTGCTTGCTAACTTATAACAAGGTTGTAGATTCTTATTTGTTTTGTGTCACTGACTACTCGAAAACCATTCCTCAAAGTTTCAATTCATAGAAGAATTATTGAAAAATTCAGAATGATGATTACAAACATATAGGATAGGTTCACTACTGTGACCAACTACTTGAAAACCTTTGCTTGAAGTTCCAATTTGTAGAAGAAATATGAGACTACAATTTCGGCATATCAGAAAAATCTCAGTTGCCTGATGGATAGTTTATCAAGCTATTTTGCTAGAATATTAAAAAAAAATCACGATTATTTTCATCCGGCTTTTAGTTGTTTTCTCATTTCGGGGACATGAATGATTACTTGCACCAGTCGCAAAACGACGACCAGATTCAGCAAATAATTGTCATCATAACAATATCCTAAAAATGAACTTTTTGTTCACCTAGGAGTATACATCAGGGTTTTTCAATTAAAACTCCGAACGCCAATATCTCGAAAAGAATTTAAAATATTTGATGTCTGCAAAAAGTAGTCATTGGATGGGGTCAAGTAGATTTTTTTCTAAGTTTGAAGAATTCAACGCCTACTAAGAGCTGAGCGTCGCAACGCGTCGAAAATATAAATCGATTGCATTGACTTTGAAATTAGGCGCACTCAATAGTACATGAAATTTATGAACTTTTTTGTTATTTACTCGAATACTCGCCCCTATCCATTGACTACTTTACACAGAAATTGAATATTTCTATTCCTTGTCAAGATATTGGCTTGCGGAGTTTTGAGTGAAAAACTCTCTATAAGTATATGTAATGTATATAGGTTATTTCCAGAACTCCCCAAAATTTTTCACTTGCCTCAATCCCGCCGAAGAGTTGAATTTTCAATATAAAGTCCTGTCTGCCCTTGATGTAGTAGAAGAAAAACTCAACTGTGGTTCTAAGGGGGCTACAGATTTGAGAGAGCTGTATTTAGGAATGCTTTATACTTTGGAAACGCACAAAATGTATCCTTTTTCAAAAATTGTTGGTTATATAATATAACAAACTTATTTTTTGATTTTTTCTTCATATATGTTCCTTAAGCAAAAAAATAGTTATGGATATGTGACAAATACTAAAATCAAATTCATAATCGTGGTAGATTCAACAAATATGGCATTGAGAGATAATGAAATCAGATCGGTAAGGTCGTGTTTCCTCCGCCATTTCTTAGACAAACCATTATAGCCAAAGGAATATACATTATACACAGGGTGTAATTGAATTGATGGCTGAAAATATCGGATATGGAACCTCTTAACTTTTTGATCCATAGGGTTTTAAAATTTAATTTTGTCTTTATTGATTGAAGAAACTTTCACAATGTAAAAAACTGTTACGTTATTGAATACTTGTCAAAGTAAGACCGCAACATCTCTACCGCAACGTAATCGATCAAATAATGTCATTATTTTAAATACAAAATTGGGCACTAGCCTATAGCTAGTATACTAGTTCAAAACAATTTCGTTATGCCACAAATGCATGAAAATTGTTTTTATTTCTTTACGCGAAAACGGCTTTTCGGACTGAAAAATAATTGAGGAGTCAAATTGTTGCAATGTAAATGAAGATTTCGAAAATAATTTTTATTTCTGGAAAAGCGAGAGTATACAATATACATTTAGGAAAATCTTTAGTATACACGTCGACGCCATTGGTGAAAATATTTAAAAATCTCATGCATCAAAAAATGCCTATTGGTGCTCAGTAGCTGCATGTCAAATTTTATGAAAATATCTAGAACGACAATATTGAAGTTATGACAAGAAAACGATTTTTTTCTTAAAATTTCAACACCCTATAGCTCGAAAGTTGAAGAGGTTTCTTTCTTCTGAAAATGAGCAGAGGAACCATATCCTTCATTTTCAGGCATCAATTAAATTAAAACCCTGTAAACTACATATATATGGGTACTTCAATTAATTAATTATTATAACTATTGATGAAAGTAGTGATAAAACCACAAACATTTTTAGATGTTCCGCAAAATTCATTCCGAATATGCTGATATCGTATGCAATCCATTTTACATTCCCGGGGAACCAATTTGTTCCAAGTAAGTTATACTTTTTTCAGCAATATTGCAAATTAACTATATAAATTGCATTTTCAGGTCATTCACTGGCAGTATAAAAAATATAATGACCGGAACTGTATAATAATCGACCTGATATAAATTTTGAGAACATATAAATCATGTTCGAATTAATATTTCAACACCATATATAATATTTATAATCAATAACACGATGGAGGGAAGATGCGGTGTAATCGTGATCAATAATAATTATTCAGCAGCTTGTCAACAGCCTACCATATTTTGGCATTGGCAGTTTATACACAAAATGTCATTTCTAAAAACATGTTCGAGTTTGTTCCGGATCCAGAGGAATATGGGATACATGCATAATAGATCTAAATACTGGTTGGATAGAGTTGGTACCAGAGAAATGGTCTGCTTTGGAATGAATGGTCAACCGATGTATGTAGATGATGTCAGTTTCCCTTGTCCTGCAATTCGCTACAAAGAAACAACGCCACAAATCAAAGCTCTGTACGAAAAACAAAAAGGCGATTGGAAACTACTAACCAAGGACGAGAAGAAAGCATTGTACCGCGCTAATTTTTGCCAAACTTACGCTGAATTTCAAACAAGACCCAATGGAGAATGGATGGCAATAACTGGAATGAGTCTGATCTTCTGCTGTGCAGGAGTCTGGTTGTACCTTTTCATGGTCCTTTTTGTTTATTCAGGTTTGCCTGATTCTTTTCACCCTTCTCACGTTAGAGCTCAGATGAGGAGGGTCATCGATATGCAGGCTGATCCCATACAGGGCTTATGTTCCAATTGGGATTATGAGAAAAATGATTGGAAAGTCAAGAAATGGAATACTCCGCAAAATCCATTCGTCCGATGCACAGATGATGAATAGTTATTATTTGAAATGATATTTTTTGTAAGTTACATGATTTTGAAGAATATAATATTCGACTTTTAGAATGCATTATAGTATATATTGAACTAATCTAGGATCAACAGAGTTGCCCACATTTGTCAGCAGGGGCGATACAGTACTGTTTCGGCCCACCAGGCCTCATCTGCCGCTCTCGGTCTGCTGACGAATGGGACAACTCAACACTTTAGGTATTGTAGATAGGTGGTTTGTATAGGCTGGGAGACTTCTCGATCTCTGCGACCTAGAAGATCTATTGTGATTACCCGTATCTAGTTTTGGTCCTCTTACCCTAGACTTCTGATGAAGCCTAGAATTTTCCTGACGGTTGAATTTTCCACCTCAACACGTGTGAAATTTTGGCGGACTAATACTTTACATGAGCAAAGTATGTGTTCCGCGGTTTCGGTCGCATTGTTGCAAAAGCGGCAAGTGTCCAGTCTCCGCCAGGCCCATCTTTTTGATATGGTACCTCAAGGCCAGTGTCCTGTGAGAAAGCCTGTGATAAGCTTTAGCTCTGCGGTTTGCTGAGGCTGAGTAGCTCTTTGGCTCGGTTCTGCGAATGGTTGATGAACCTTTTCGCTTGTCGTTGACCTGGAGTTGCTCTCCAGTGGGAGGACTTTTCAATTTCCTCCCATTTCCTGAGTTCTCCCTTTAGGTGACATTTGCTCATCCCACAAAAAGGACCAAAGAGTGCAGATGCTGAGCCTTCCTTCGAGTGACGAACTGACATTGAACTCTGCCCGACGATTGGCCTCACAGCCAAAATATATAAGGAGGTTTTTGTTTTCATAATTTTGATTTTCCTCCATCACCATGAACAACCTACTATCACTAATTGATCAGCTCCCCCAACCCCCTGGGTATCCACAGAGAGACTATACTTATATAAAGGGCTCACCCCTAAGGAGGTAGACCTTGCATATACACCCACATTCCTTAGCCCACACCAGCCACCTCAGCACCACGCGGAGGACCATATATATACAGAAGAAGCTCTGTATTTTGTTTCTCATTATACAAATGTGTCAGTACTATGTGTTTTATATGACGAAAAATAAACGACTTTAATACTAATGGAGAACCTTAGATTGAGAGATCCCAGGTTGAAATCCTTACTCTACCTACTTTTTTTTATGTTTTACGTTTTCCTTTCTTCCTCAAAATTGTACTGTGGAGGCATCTACTGTTGAGGCCGATAGTTATTATCTATTTCAATGATGCTCTCGGCGGAAATTTTCAATGTTCGGAGATTCTTGAACCTCTTCTCTTGTGTATATCCAGCATTATCCTGAGTAGTTCAATTAAGATGTTAGCAATAAGCATACATAATAGTATTCAAGTAATAACATTGGGCATTTGTAGCTAGCTATCTAAAAATTGAGAAGAAGATGAAGATGAAGATTCCTAGCGCGCTTCTTGTCAGTTTCCTGTTAACCTTAAATATTTACTTTTAAACCAGTTGCTTGTTAGAATTTAAAATTTATAAAATCATTCATATTCATTTCACAATG